AAAAAAGAAAGTGAGGTTTTAGTTAAAATGTGGACCTGTCAAACCTTATCAACATCCCTGAAAAGTGATGCCATATGACATTCTAATTGTTATGGTAAAAATGAAAACAGGCTGGACTGGCATGCAGCTCACAGACCTCCTGCAAGCACAGCTGCTTTTATACACTCCTTAGGAATATATTTCCAATTTATATGTTAACAAACAAATGCAAGTAACTAACATGAAAATATTTTGATTATCCTTTTCCTTTTCAGTAGGTTTCCATTCGAAATTCATCCTCTGACTATTTGTGAGAGAGATCCCATGGTGCTTTTTTGCAGAAGTTAACTGTAATTTCTTGGCCAAATTTTAGCTCAGGTAATTACATTTTGATGTCCTAAATCCTGTGCACCCTCTTCAGTTTCAAAGGGATATCATGCCCAATTCTGCCCTGCATTACTTAGGTGCTATGCACATTGGCTTCAGCGAGAGGTATGCATTTATGCTGAGGGCAGAATTTGATCTGTGTTATGTTGTGCTCCGGTGTTGTAGTTAAGCTACCACATTTCATACCAGAGTTGGCTGCATTTCTGTGAGGGAATAGGTCATTCTTGTGTTTGGAAGAGCTTCTTACCCTGGTACAGCACTTTATATCCTCCAAAATTAATACATTTAATATTACTTGGCCAAACCCTGTCTTCTTTAGTCACTCCTTCATCAGCCATTACTCCCAGTGGGCAAAATTCATCCCTAAATGGATTAATTCACAACAGAATTTTTTGCCTTAGTAAAGATTGAATAAAAATTAGTAATAACTTCAGGATTTGACCCTAATTAAATATCTTAGCAAAAAAGATTATGGTTGTGTATACTGGAAGAGGGGGTGAGATGGAACAGAAAGTAGATGAGGTACTTGCTTCATTACTTCTCTGTTGTAATTACTGGAAGAAGGTCATTCAGGCCAGTGAAAATAATTGTCTAGACATATAAGGTGTTATTTATTTGAAGGCATCTGTTTTAGTTTAAACAGGGACTCAGTTTTTCTCTTGACTTATACTGAAGATTCAAGTTGTCTACAAATGTCACAAAAAAGTCTTTATCTCCTTGAAACATTCCAGTATGAAAAGGTTGTAAATGAAAATCCTCTTTTTAAACAACTGAAATGTATAATTTTTCCAGGTTGTAGTTTTTAAGAGATAAAGCTCTTCATCTTAAGTCTAGATTGTTGTAACAAATATTATAGAAAACATCCAACTAACACTTTAATTTGATGAAATTTGAATGAGAACCAATTTATGGTGACCTTCAAAATAAGCCAAAAGTGGAAGACACAGGATGATGAACCGCAATGTCAAAAGCCAATATTTTGCTCTTTTAAACAATGATCTATTTTGTTGGGAAAAAATTATTGCCAAGGTAACAGTTCCATCACATGGCTCAAATAGATTCAACATGTTTTGCAACCTCAATCCTCAAAATATCTTCAAGATGAATGTATGCAGATCACAACTTCTAAGAGGAAAGCTGTACACATCTTCAGAATTTTAACATTTTCAGTTTAATTAAATCTTGTATATTGGGGGATGCACTGGTAGAAAATCTTGGCAATTGGATTAAAAATAGTGACAGACTGCAATACCCCAATTAAAACTGAATAGTGCCATAAAAATGTTCATGCCACTGTAGAAAAACAAAATTTGGATTAGTTTTTGTTTCTTACATGATCTTAGATTTGATTTTTCCTTAACTTTCATCTCCATCGTTTTTCCCTAATTAAATGTTATCTCATTACAGTTGTTCTTCCCTCAATATATATGCAGATACAAAAAATCACATGTCCTATAAAGTAGTAAAGAAGCAACTTGGGTATCTAGCCCAAGCCGTTTTAAAGAATGAAACAGAGGCTGTTTTGTGCAAGAAAAGTGGGATACGGTTGCAGACGAAGGAGGCATCAGGGTGAGGTGAAAGCTAGAATAGAATACAATGAGCCAAAACACCCTCTTTACCTGCATGGACAAAGGGGATGAAAATCCAGTGATTCTAGGCATGAAAAACAGAGAGACATTGACAAATGGATTTTTATATAAAAAGTAAGCCTTATTATTTCTCTGAAATACTGTCCACATAGAAATGTGAAGTGACTTACAGAAGGGTTTGTGCCACCTTTATAGTACTGATTCCCCGACCCTGTAGCACTGTCTTCACTCAAAATTATGGTGTTTACCTATCTACCTTAATGCTGACTGGCTCAACATAAATGTAAACAGGGTTCATCACGGGAAAAAGGCCATAAGGAGCTCATAGCAGCCTGGATGAAGAATAGCATAGTAGCACAGGTTGCTTTTCAACTTGGATCACACTTAATGTTCAGTATTGCTCCTTCTAGATGTACAATAGCTGAAGAGAAAATCTAACATAGGCAAATATATAGAGAAAGTTTGAAACAGTAGTCTAATGAGTTAAAGTGTTATCAAAATATTGAGCTCATGTTCATTCACAAATATTCAGGTTTTACAGAGTTCTTTATGTTTGTGAATGTTTATCAGGCTAACTAGATGCAGCGCTAATAAAATGCTAGTTAATTACTCTGAAATCTGTAATAAATTTCACAACACAGTTGTGAGATTAGATCAACATCTTATTAGGGAGCAACTTTTCTTGTAAGAACCAAAAAGGAATTTCTGCTTTCTCTTCAGAATCTCACAAATTCCTCCCTGCTGGGTGTCTCAGTTTATCCAATAGAGGATAGTACAAGGATGACAAGTTTTTGTGGTACGATAAGGACTTTTGTGCATGTATGCATTTCTTACAGCATTAGGCAGATTTCAGCACTGGCTTGGAGGATTTTCAGTTGATTGTTCTATACTGTACATGTGCCAGGGTTTTAGTCTTGAACAATCTTAATGCTTGCGCATCTCTTTGCCAACTAGCACGCAGGCACTAACGCAGATTTAACCAACTAGTGGAGCCCCATTTCTGGAGTTTGAACTTTTTTAGTTGTGCTACTATGTGTGCATAATTGTGTGCCTAATCTGAATGTTCAATTGTCATGATTGCAAGTGCGAACTAGGTAAGTGATAATGGAAATAGCCAGTTCTGGACATTTGTATATACAATGGTAATTAATCTCTGACTGCATAGGTACAGATACCATGGTTACTAGTATGAGTTTCCATAGGAAAGCCTCTTCCACTTGAATTAAAGGAGTAACTATCAATTTTGTTTTGTTTTCTTATTTTGTTTTGTTATTGTTTCATATTCTCTGTGTATATATAAAGTCTGCTGCAGTTTCCACGGTATGCATCTGATGAAGTGAGCTGTAGCTCACGAAAGCTCATGCTCAAATAAATTGGTTAGTCTCTAAGGTGCCACAAGTACTCCTTTTCTTTTTGCGAATACAGACTAACACGGCTGTCCCTCTGAAACCTATCAATTTTTGGTAAGCTGGAGACTCTTATTCCCACTGGGGCCAATGACTAAATGTAGACATGATCACATGAACTAGACCTGTGTATTGCATAGTTAACCTATTTGCATGTGCATTTGCAGTAACTGAGCATGCAGAGGCACACAATTACACATGTATTTTGTGAGGGTAAATGTTCACCAAAAATATTAGCCAATTTCATCCTTGGTGTGCTGCACATTATTGCTTCTCGGATTCAAAACAGGGGAAGATGTTTTACTAGATGAGCAAAGAGGATGCCCTTTTCTTGCCAAAAAAGAAGCAGTTAAATTTATCTCCGCTGGCAGTTGCTCTCTGCATATCTTAGAGTTGTCTTATCCTTCTTTCTCTTAAGGGTGTTGAAAGTGGTAGTGTAACTCTCATGATCAGTGATGAATCATGGTATGAAACTGAGTATGAAACTGAGTGACTAATTATCTGGAGCCCTCAAATCACTTTACAAACATTTCTTAACTCTCATAACTAGAGCTGGTCAGAATTTTTTTCCAAGGACAATTTCAACTTTTGGGTGAAAAATTAAAACCTGAAAATGTTCAACTGAAAACCTTCCACTGAAAACTGAAAAATTTTGATTTGGAAATGACAGCACGTTGCTCAAGCAAGTTGTAGGTTGTGTGTCGCATGTCCCCATTCTCCTCAACAGGCTGGATTCCCAGGCTGGACTACATTTACAGATGTAGTATGACCAGGGATCCCGGTCCATCAAGGAGAATGATGACCTGAGGCAGCTAAACTACAGCTCCCAAAAGGCAGTGGCGACATGGCCAAATGGAATATTTTTCATTTTAATGTATGTGGTTTTTTTTCCATTAATTGTCAACATTTCCTGTGGAAAACAGTTTTTGCAAAATCTTTTTGTCACAAACTCAATTTTCTGTCACAAACCAGTTTCAATGGAAGATTTTTCCAACAGCTCTATTTACAATGCCCATTGTGCAGATGTCTTTCTCTGGACTTGGAGAATGCCTAGCACACTTTGAGTGCTTTGTCTATCTAAATAAGGCACCGGAGGGAAGGGAACATCTAAACAGATTAACACTATGCCTTCCATTACAAACAGTGCCTGAATTCCTTTAGAAAGTAAAGAACTACAGGGCAAGGGACTTTGCTATTTATTAATCCTTTCTTTGACTGTACAGGGCCAGAGCTATATAAAGAAATCTATCTAGCTATGTATGGTCGGAGAGGGGCTGCCTCTTAGCAGTTTGCTTACACTGTACCACACAGACCAGTATTCAGGTTAACAGATTTATAGGGCTCTGTGCAAATTTTGCTGCAGGCGCCAATACGGCGCGTGGGCGCGCACCTTACAATGTGGCACGTGCATACGCCACTTTGCCACGTGGCCCCAAGGCTGATTACCCCGGCCATGCACTCTGAGGAAACCGTACGGGGGGCGAGGGGGGGGAAGAGGTGCGCTCCTAACTCAAGATGGCTGCCTGGGGAGAATAGGCGCGCTGACGGAACGGAAAAAAACTAAAGGCGTGAATAGCGCGCATGCGCAGCTATCTCTTCTCCGGTCTTAGGAGCCGCCCCGAGCATTCACGCAGACTCAGTCTCCGAGTTGTCTGGAGGTGCGACGTTGGACGCTGGGGCTCGCGCGTGGGCGCGTGCGGCATGGCTGGAGGGCTGGTGCGCATGCTGCTCCTCCTCTCACAGCTCCAGGTCCAGCTGAGTGTGCCATGGGCTGCAGGTAAAGAGTGAAGGGCAGCGAGCGCAATATAAGTACTTAAAATTTTAAAATAACTGATGCTGGCAGTAGATGGGAGTCGTGATAAATCACAATACATGCACCAATAAAACTAATAAATGGCAGTCAGGAATGACTGCCATAAATAACAAGCAAAGTAGTAATAAATCTTCCAAGTAACAATGCTTCATAATCGATAACTATTATAATATCATCAGTGGTGCAATTTAATTGATAATTTAATAAAAGCATCATGATTAAGAGTGTATACAATAAATAAGCATATTTTAATACAATCGGTATCATAATATAATAAATAGTACTACTAAAATAATGGAACAAACATCATCAAGCCAAGAATACCCACCCCATAGTAAACAGCTATAATGTTAAGCAAGCTATAAATATCCAAGAGAGTTTATATTTGTCTAGGGGAGAGGAAGAGAAACATTTGATATGATAGAAGATTTGAAGGGGGAGAAGAGGAAGTGTTTAAAAACTCACTTTATAAAATGCACGAAAAAATTGTGATGATTTTAGCCAACAAAAAAATTAATTCGTAACAGTTGTAAAGACAGAGTCTGTATCTGTCTCAGAGAATCTGTATCTATTTTGCAAATTATGTTCAAAGATACTAAGATTGTGAACCTATAAGCTGCTCCAGGACCTAAATGATTTTTTCAGGGGTGACAGAGGAATCATCTTCCCATCACTAAGCCATAGCCTCTCTAATTATGAACATTCATTCCTCACACAAGGAATGTACCCAACCCACCACCTCTTATGTATTTATTTGCCTTATTTTTATAATACCTCACCCCATTTACTTTTATGTGCACCTTCAGAACCTTTATTTGACTTCCCCTCCACCTAGGAATTGTACAAATAAAATATTGGGGTGAGTTGCCAGCTGTATTTTTGCACAAGGAACTTAAAAAGTAAACAAAATTTGGCTTTCTTCATTATTGAAAAATGGACTACCTTTCTATGTGTCTGAACTATACCTACTGTAAAGGGGCCTTGATCCTTATTTGGACCTCTGAGGACTACTGCAGTATAAGTATTTAATAATAGTATGTATGGTAAGTTCTTGAATTGAGGACCAAGTTTCTAGTTTAGTTCTTATGTCATTGTGGTAATGAGAACTTTAAACTATTAGTGGCTCTGATTTTTGGATGGAGACTGTTGACTGTATTGCCTAACTTAACTGAACGCAACTGAAGAGTGTTGGTTATAGGTACTGTTACTCCTGCGGATTGTAATTCTGAGTCTCTGTTCTCTTAAAACAAAACTGTACTCCCAGTCTGCATACCGTGATAGTCTGGCTAGTGTGTACATTGTATGTTCTCCCAGATATATGTGTATTTCAAAATTATAAATAAAACAAACACCATCATCTACACCATGCAGGTAGATTTCTCCTCTGATACCATCATAACAGAACTCGATGCCAAAATGGAACCAGTTCCATTTAAATCACATTGAAAAAGGGTTGCAGCATGAAACCCTGTACATGTTTTCTGAGAAAAGAATTTTCCTATTGATTTTCCTGTTTTACATTAATAGTTCTGCTTACAAGGAGCATTCAAAATATTTAAGATGAATTCAGACATTTGCACATAATATTTTTGTAGTTCATATAGCAGTAATTTGGCTTTAAACTAATTTGTTGCCATGAAATTTGGAGGAATGGATCAAGGTCTGTTATAAAACAGATTTAAACCAACACTATTTTGCAAGTAGGGATTTTGATGAAGACTTAGGGGACTGTTTTCTCCAAAGGAGTCATTAATGAAAATGTTATGCATGTGTATTTGAGGGACAATAGCTCCCTAATTTCCACTAATAGTAACTAAGCCCTTCTGTTATACCCTTCCTATGACATTTACTAGGGGCCCAATCCTATGAAGGTGCTGAGTGTCCTCAATTACCTTTGACTTCAGGGAGAGATGAGCATTGAACAATCGCATTATCAAGTTTTATTAATGAATTAAACCCCCTTTGAGGTAGGGAAGTATTATCATCCCCAAGCATCAATTAAAGCATCACAGACCAGACATAACATCCAAGATACTATTTGTATTTCAGTAGCTCCTACAGTCTCCTAGCTGATATTAGGGGTCCATTATTCTAAGTACTGTACAAACATATTGTAAGACACAGTCCTGGCCTCTAACAGTTTACAGTCTAAATAGACAAAGGAAGTATTAAACCCATTTTACAGATGGGGAATTGAAACAGAGACTAAATGAGTTTATACAAGGTTACAAACAACATTTATGGAGGAATAGAGAATGGCTCTGTTGAGTCCTAGGCTAGTGCCTTAACCACAGGACCATCCTTCCCCTTGACTTTAAGGGACAGGTGCTTTAAAAATCTTGCTTTATCGACTGTAGTGTAGGACTTCCATCAAGCTAAGTGCAGACAGCTTTTATGTTGGAGCAATATACAATCAGATCCGGTCCATTTCTTTCCTTATGCAGCACTGAGTTAGCCACAGGAATGATGTTTTAAGTGTGATTTTACAATTAAAACTAGAAAAATACCATATGTCAGTTGAGAACAAAACCAAACCCGAGCTGTTTCTCTTAATCTATTCCAATGACATATTTACTAGCAGAAAAAGAGCAGTGATTTTGTCTGCTAACCATTCAGTTGAACTAATGTTATGAGATCAGACTGGCAGTAAAACTAGTAGCTTTACTGCCCATGTATGTAGGTGCACCTACAAAGAGATCCTAGGTGGAGTCTGTTGTGGGCAAATGTCTCTGGGGAGTGCCTCTAGGACAACTGCCTCTGAAAGAATACAGCACATGTTTTCTCCTCCATGAGGCCAGCCTTCCTTTCTGTCCCCTTTGATGAAACTAGGATTTTCAAACGAACTAGGAGAGCAAGGTAGGGGATTAGAGTGTCTAAATCTATAAGTCTCCAGACCTAGCATTTAGCATGAGGGGGATTATGCCCCGATTTTTGTAGTTGCCATGAGGGTGATGAAGGCCCCGTGCACTCCCGTCCCCACTTGTTCATGGCCCAGGCCCTTATTTAGGTCTGCTTGGCTTGGAGATTTGTAATAGGATATAAAGCAGGGGTTCTCAAACTGGGGGTCAGGACCCCTCAAGGGATCACAAGGCTATTTAACCGGGGGGGGGGGGGGGTGAGAGTCACGAGGTGTCAGCCTCCATCCCAAACCCTGCTTTGCCTCTAGCATTTATAATGGTGTTAAATATATAAAAATGTGTTTTTAAGTTATAAGGGGGGATCGCATTCAGAGGCTTGCTATGTGAAAGGGGTCACTAGTAAAAAAGTTTGAGAACCACTGATCTAGAGCTCTTCACAGTTAGTAGCCATCCCAGCTTGGTAGGGGCTACCTGTTTTCCATTTGATGATTGGTACAGTGCCTATGGAAAAAGAACTGGTGGTTTCAATCAAGTCCCTGTTGGACATCTCTGATAATGACTTTTAGTTATGACTAAAGATGGCTGGAGAATGTTTCTTAACAACTTTCAACATTTCAACATGTATTTTCATTCTGCATTAGACTGAAAACAAAATCTTTACAATGTTTTCACAAAATGGACTTGGGTTAAAACGCCTATCTTGGAATTGAAAAAGATCAGGTTGGTTTTTTTCGTGTGTGTGTGTGGAGAACACCCTGAACCTCAGAAAGAAACCTTCCCATTGAAAACTTAGTTGAAATTGATACCTTTCAACATTTGTTTTGACCTCTATGAAACAGTTTGACAAAAAATGTTCTGATCAGCTCTAGTGGCTCTTAGAGCCACAACCACATTCTGAACTTAGCACTTTAGGAGCAATCCGATCTGACCATAATTACATTTTAATAGGCTTGTTTTCCAAAGAGGGACTTTCTAAACAATCAAAAAGTGGGTACATCTCAAATTGTCATATCCCCTATGATTTGCTGAATCCTCACGATCAGGCTTTTTAAGAAATTTCAGGTCAAAGCAAAAATGCACTTACAATCTTTTGAAAACAAATTACTTCAATTTAATCATTTGAATTTTATGTTAAATAATAAGTTTGGGTTTTTTTTTTAATCACTGAGGCTGGATATCTTTTAGGAAACAAAGGCTCAAGTTTCTCATTGTGTATGTATTTGGAGTTCAGCAAAATGCTGATACCCAACCAATACTCATGAAAGGCATCCTGTTCACAAATGGCACCCTGAAATCTTACGTTTGTCTACAGAAGGGGCACACACTGGGCAATGGGAGTGCAAACTCACCTGCATACTACTCCTCCATGTGCCCACAGAGGTCCGAGTATCACTGAACTAGACTCTTACCCCTTGGAGTAGTCCTGAAAGTCAGAGTATAGGCATAGTGGAGATGTGACGTGAGGAAGAGAGAGGATGGAGAAGGAGTCTTCTTCAAGGATGTTTGTCCATATTTCACCACAGCTGAATTCACTAATCAGGAAAAAAAAATGGCAACAGTAAAATGACTCATATTTGCAAATAAGATTGCTAGTTTAATACTATCAGTTCTCAGATTTACAGTACAGGGTGAACAGTCAAAGAGACAAAATTGATCATTCAGATTGCCTAGAAGCTGTTTGCAGGAGGGAAAAGACTCATGTTTTACTGAGACATCTGCCTGAAGGATAGGAAGAACTATATTTTTTCTGTTTATTACAAGGTAGTCTAAATCAGCATCTGTTAAATTAATTTTGTATGGTTTTTCAGGGACATTGTGAAGTATAAATTATAAAATTTGGAAAGGTAGATTTGAGAAGTTACTTCTGTGTGTACAAGTTGTTCCATATTTGCAACTAAGACAAAATTTAAAAATGTAAAGAGTATTTTTAGTTCTCCAGCCTTATCAAACCAATGAACAAATGCCATGGTTGCATGATCATGACAGAGGTTTCTTTTAGTGAGTGTTTTTCCCTTGTTCAACAAAAGAATAAGAAAATCTTGTAGTAATTATAGGGACACTGTCAGAGTTAGGTTTTAAACACAGCTTGATAATTGTCATATTTGATAACATTTGCTCTAAGGATTCAGCCCACGGTGCTTTATTTATTTTCTACATTCTAACTTGCTGTGTGCTATGTAAGTGGAATGTACAACATGTATGAGTGTGTGTATTCATACATGCTCTTTGATTTGTCAAGTGCTCAGTAAATCTGCTGCGTCATTAAGTTTTGTGTTTAAATTGAGCCCCTCAGCAATTATTGGTTTCAACAAGAACGCTACGAGCTTTCAGACAGGAAAAATGCCAGTGACAGGCTATTAATTTTAAGGGAAAAAACCTTCAGAATTTCCCTTTAAAATGAGGACATAGAAATGTTCATGCGTTCCTGCCATTGGTGGCACATCAGAGAGGTCTGGTGCCTGCTGTGGGTTTGGAATAAGCATTTTAAATAGTGGAAAATAAAACGGCAGCCAAAATTAGTAGTTGAGCTATAAATATAAAAACGAGTGGGATGGAGGAAGTCTAGATCATTTAGGGGTGTTTGTACATGGTTTGGTGGCATTTGGTTTTAACAGTGGTATTGCAAGTCACAGTGTTCGTACATTTATAAATCATTAAACTGTCAGACTTTTAGGAAGCTGTAGGTTACAAAGCCTCATTAACAGGCCTTAAATCTGCAGTGGTCCCAGATATATAGTACAGAAGAGGCACTTTACAACTAATTAGGAAAAACCCATGAGCAGTTTGGATATTAATAATTTACCAAGAACTAAACTGCATCTTTGTGTTTTCCCTAAATATAGCTTTTTTTTTTTCAAAAAACTTCTGATAGGAAGTATAGCAGAAAAATCTTTGTTCAGCTGAACATTGTGTCTGAAATAAACACATTTCTGTCTAGATAAGTTTTGCATATAGCAAGATAACGGTTTGTTTTTTAATTCCCTAAAGTCAAGCTGAGATTGAATTGTCCTCAAGCACCCTGCTGGCACTATTGGCAGGGGAATTGTTATTGCATGGAGAGGAGTCGCACAGGGACTTGGATTGAAGCACTGAGATACTGCAAACGATATCGAGATACAGAACTATTAAAAATCACTAATGCATCAGAAAAGGTAAAGCTTGTGCCTTGTGTATCATTTAAAAGCGTGACTGCAAAGACCACTCATGCTACTTTTATTTCTAGTCTTCTAACCTGTTGATTAATTTTATCTTTTTCCCCCCAACCTCAGAGTTACATTTGCATGTGTTGCCAGGTGCTCTTACAAGCTATATACAAGCTTTTCTTTACACATTTCTGCCAGTTACAGCCCCTGCTGTTCCAGTTTTGTGCTTTTCCTAACTATACTGTGACACGTTCTGAACTGTGGCATGAGAGAACTACTGTAGCTTTGGTCAGCTGTTGTTTTCCCATGTAAACTCTGTTGGGAGCTGAGTTCAGACCTTTGGGGTGTGTCTGCACGACAGCTGGGAGACAGACGTGCTAGCTCTGCTCAAGCTAGCGTGCCAAAAGTCGTAGTGCAGCCACAGGCAGCCTGAACTTCCGACATTTCCTAACTTTTGAGTGCTTGGACTTGGCCACCATAATTTGTTTAGTTTTTTAAATATTATAACAATAAACAATATTCAGTATTTCACAAGGTTTTTATGCCTATAAACACTATACAAGACAAACTTGATGCAAATTTTCATATTACTTACTGCATTTTCAAAATAATCATAGTCCCTTAGCAGCTTTGACACCTTCTCTGCAAAGATCTCAAAGCATTTTACAACCATTAATGAAGACTCCCAAATGAGGTACAGAGAGATCCATGCCAAAGAGTGTAATTGCATGAACCTAAAATTAGGCATCTGAATAAACGGCCTGATTTTCAAAAGTGCTGAACACCCACTGTACACAGGAAGATAAGTCACTGATCTAGGTGCCTAAATATGGAGTTAAGTACCTAACTGTGGGTGGTGGTGTTGAAACTTTTGGCAGACTGTCGCATGGCAGAGAGTCTGAGATCTTCAGGAATAAAATACAGAACTCCTGGCTTCCATATATGATCTCTAACTTCTAGGCAATGCTCCTTCCCTTCAAAGTTGTACGCAGGAGAATGGTCTTCAGAAGGGCACCTAGGCCCTTATAAAAAATTGAATCAACGTGTGCTTATTAATTGCATTCAGACAACAGGTCAGTGAACACTACGGTTGTGTGTAAGGTTGATGGGCATTTTGCTGAGGGCCAGCGAATAATACAAATGCTGTTTAAAGAAGCACTAGAAAATCATTGCTACCAACAGCCCCTCTCAATCTACTGCACCATCTTCAGCACAACCATAGTTCATCACGTGAAACATTACCACTGAAACCTAGTCATGCTTGGCTAGCACAAGTTGGTGAGGGCATGACACTTATCACTGTCTCCCTCCACCCACCTCCATAATGATTGAACCTGCCTAGGAATTTGTGACGCCAGGAGCGTTGCTCTCAGAAGTCCTTTGTCAGGCCTGCTGACTCACTCTAAATTTGTGTCTGACTTTGAGTCACAGAGCTAGAATACACAGGGGAGGAGAATTAAATTCAAAGGAATGCCATGTTTGCTGCAGAAGAGAGAAAAAATTAAATATCGCCAAGGAGCTGAGGGAATATTTCCTCTAAAATCAGATAAGGGAAGTTTCTGATAACACCACAGAGTCTCTAAAGCAAGCACTGTGGTTGCTTCAATGAAATGAGTCCCACAAGTATACTGTATAATCTTGCAGTATCTCCCATGATCTTCATACTTTCAGATTGCATTGTTTATCAAATCTTGTCATGACCAAATCTGACAACGATTCTCTTTCACTTACACTGCTTCAAAAATAGTGCAACTCCATTGACCTAATTTGAGTTAAGTGCAGATTCTCACAGGTGAAAGTGACAGAGAAGAATCAGGTTCCTTTGCATACTGTATAACCTGATTCCTAGACATAAGCAATATGAGTGAGAAAAGAATGTCACACAACGTGATTTAAAAAAAAAAAAGGCAAAATAAATGAGCCATTGTTTTCCCTCATGCAGGCGTGTTAATTAGTGATTTAAAAGACACTGACAAGTTCTTCATGCCCTAGTATAGATTCAACTGCAAGTACCTTTCTAGGGAATGATGTAGAGTTTGTAAGCTCTCCAGTAACTCTTGGACATGCTTCTTTTAAAACACGGATCCTTACAAGGACAAGAAATTAATAAAACAAGGAGTATGTTGTCTTGTGAACTTGATACAAAAGGAAGCCTGTTTATGCAGTCTCTCTTGCGCGCTCTTTTGTTGTCCAGGTACGTATCTCTGCCTCTTCATGCAAATTAAATGCCTTTTTTATTTGGATGTTCAAGAACTCTTTAAAAATCTGATATGGCTAGGTATAGATTGCACACAGCTATTGAATAGTTTGCTGGTTTATGATGTTTACTATCAGCTGCACTGTTTTCAGTTCTGGTGTTAAGTGAGTCTAATGCATATTGTATGTCGGTGGGCCAGAGTCTGCTCTGTGCTACTGAGCAACCCTGTTGACGTTAATTGGGTTGTCCGGTGTATAACTAGGAGTGGAATTTGGCCAAATCTGTGTGTAAGTCTGTGCTATCTAGTGGCTAAAGGTATTTAGAGTCAGAACTTCGTGTTTTTCTTTACAACTCAACCACTGATGCATTGTGTGACCTCAAGCAAGTCACTTAAATTCTTTGTGCCTCAGTTTCCACATCTGTAAAATAGGGATAATACCTTTTTCTCAGGGTGGATATGAGAATTAGCGTTTGAAATGCCTGAATGAAAAGCTGTTATACAAGTGCTAATTATTACTATACACAAATGTGTTTATAAAGAATTGATCATTTCCACAGAAATGGATTTTAGGATTGCCTCTGAACGATTTCTGGATTGGATTAAATAATTTGGAAAATGAGACTAATTTTGCCTGGTCAGAAGGGACACTGGCAGACATAACAGCACCCTGGTAAGAAGCTGATTTGAGCAGTATTCATATTATCGTATAAGCTCATTTGAGTGTGTAACATCATGACTGTCGAGACAGTGATATTAGTATTTATTACCAAAGTGCCATTACAGCTCATCTTATAAATTGGAAACACCGCTATGTTTGCTAGATGGTTTTTGTAACATGTTGAGTGCACTCATTTTTTAAAATTGTTTTTCATAATATTCAAATTTAGAAGATTTAAAAATATCACAAGCAGAAAATAAAAATCAGATAACTCCAGTGAGGTAAAGTGCAAAAAAAAAAAATTCATTTGGATATGTCTTATAATTCTGTTCACGATGGAAAATATGGACTTGCATCCGTTAGTCCAAATGCATAGACTAAAGTTGTTTTGCATAGTTTCTGGGAATAGGAATGCAAGGAGTCTAATTTAATAGAAAAAGAGGAATATAAAGAAATGGGTTCAGATCATCAATCCCATTCCAGTTTCTTTATACCAGGTGAACAGGCTAAAGTAGTGTTAAAAAAAAGTCTATCATCCCTGGATCTGGCCAGGGGGTGATTCGTCTAGTACAGGAAAATAGCCATTAGAGCCATTAGAAAATAGCCATTGACAAAATAGCCATTAGACTGCTTTTGAAGGACCCCTTCACAAGCCCTAGTGTAGGGGATGTGGTGGAGGCGAGAGGGGTGAGACAAGCAGGAGGCTGCTGTTTCTTAAGTAGGATCCTATGGCTGTCAGATTATGCTGGGGGGAGGGGGTGTGTGCTTCATCCTCTGGACCAGCCCAGGGTTGGGAGGGTGCAAAGGTGAGTTAAGAACACCGTAGACCCTATCTGCCTGGTCTGGCACTCTTCAGAAGCACAGCACAGATTTAAGTCATAAGATTCTACCTTACAGCAATATTGCAGTGGATCATATTTTATTTCTAAGGCACATTTCTGCAAAATTGGTCCCCATCTCTCTCCAGATACGAAGCAGGATACAATGAGATCTACTGTTTAAGGGGGAGAAGCTGATTTTAAGACTCAAATGCTATACAGCAGAACACAAAATAGAGTGCCCAGATGTAAAGAATGGAACCAAAACCTATATCAAATAGAGCTGGTCAAAACTTGCCAAATATCAAAGTTTAAAAGGGAAATTTTGCTGAAATTTTTTTATAGTCCCTCAGCCTCCACCCCGCCTTTACCCACCAACTGTAGCGCAGATTTATTTAAAAAAAAACAAAGACAGTCATTGTAATGTAAATTTCTCTAGATGTTTTCTTTAACAATGACCTTTTTGTATTCTGTTAAAATTGAATGGAAAGGCTTTGGATGTCACGCCCAGCCCAGCCAAACACTGCATATTGTGTGAAGATTTCCAATGGCATCTTGATTGCTCTGGACTGTAGTGCCAAGGCCCATTGGATCTGCAAACAAAGTGCAGGTGAGAATTTACACTGCTTGTTTAATCCATTGGTGTCTAAATCAGGATTCCCTTTGCAGATGTACCCTTTGAGGCCTCAGTCCTGCAAACTCTTACTCATGGGAGAAGTCCTTGCTTTTACAGGTAGTCCCTTTGAAGTCAGTGGAACTGCTCTCATGAGCAAAGGTTTGTAAGAGTAGGTACTTAGTGCTCAGGGTTTGCATATGCTAGGAGGTTTTGCTGCTTTAACTAAGGCCTGATCTACACTAGAAAATTAGGTTGCTTTAACTATGTCAGTCAGGAGTGTGAAAAATCCACATTGTTAAACTGATCTAAATTTCTGTGTAGACAGCACTGGGTTGACAGAACATCAACCTAGCTCCCCCCTCTTGGGGAGGGGAATTACCTATGCTGGTGGGAGGATCCCGCCTGTTTGCATAGGTAGCGTCTACACTGAAGCGCTAGAACGGCACAGCTGCTGTTCTGCTGTAGTATTTGAAGTGTAGACAAGCCCTAAATCAGTATAGCGCCCTATACCCACATTAGTGAGGATGCAGTTGTACTCGTGTAGCATAGTCAAGCTCAGGATCTGAAGTAGGCACTGTCAGGCCAGGTCTACAGCTATCGACCTATATCAGTAAACTACATTGCTCTACTGTGGAAAAAAATCTGCACTCCTGAGCAAGGTAGTTATACCGACCTAACCCCCCCACCCCCCATGTAGACAGCACTATGTTGAGATGAGAGCTGATACCACCTTTTGGGGAGGTGGATTAACTATGCCGATGGGAGAAGCTCTCTCGCTGGCGTAATAGCGTCTTCACTAAAGCGCTACGGCGGCGGAGCTGCACCAATGCAACTGTAGCACTGTATGTGAAGATAAGCCCTCAGTAAAAGGCACCTTTCATATCAGTATAACTGCATCTGCACTTGGGCTTTTAGCTTTTAAGTGTAGACTGGTCCTTAGCCCTAGTCCATAGGCACCGACTCCATGGGTGCTCTGGGGCTGGAGCATCCATGGGGAAAAAAGGGTGGGTGCCGAACACCCACCAGCAGCCCTTCCCGCCCATCAGAACCTCCCCCTCTCCCCAAGGCCTCCTGCGAACAGCTGTTTTGCAGCATGAAAGAGGTTGGAGGGAGAGAGGAGGAGCAAGGACATGGTGTGCTCAGGGCGGAACTGGGTGGGAAGAGGTGGGCAGGAGAAGAGGTGGGTCCGAGGCCTTGGGGGAAGGAGTGGAGTGGGGGCAGGGCCTGGAGCAGAGCTGGGGGTTAAGCACTCCCCCACCTCCCGGCACCTTTGAAAGTCGGCACCTGTGCCCTAGTCCTCCTGTGATCAAGATTTTAAAAACAGACAAGTTTTTCAAATGGAATTAATTTGATATTCTTAATGTATTAAACAGGAAATACACATTGCTGTTGAGTCTAGGACTTGTCTGCACCAGAGAAGTGTAAATTTTAGTATGCACTAGCATGTCATGCACTTACTGGACCAAAGTTCTCTAGTGTACGTTAATGTAAGTCCCGTTTCAAACTGTACTATATTAGCACACTAGGGAATCTTCAGTGCACGCCAGCAGGATTCACAATTCTGTTGTGTCATCGCTTTATAAACTGCTGACATGACAGAGCATACAACAATAATATCTAGCTTTTACATAGTACCTTTTCATCAGTAGATCTCAGAGCATTTTATAAAGGAGGCCAGTGTGACCCACATTTTAGAGCAAACCTGACATTTTCACACAGCCACTTACAATATAGTCCAACTCAAATGATCCAACAGCATTCCCTGTTTCTACAGGGTCTCAAAAATGGAGAATTATTTCCATATTTGGAGGTTAAGAGAAGTTTGCTTTGTCTTAAATTATCTGGAAAATTAAATTGGACAACTTCACAATTGCCTTCTTTTAATCCTGCCAGTCAAATAGACAAGCTTTGTTACATGCCACCTCACTGTTCATTCCTGCACAACAATGCGCATTACTGTACGTTGTGTCATGTAAAACCAGGCCCTGGTAATGCTCAAATTGAAAAAAATTCACTCCTAGAGGACCAGTACCTGGCCTAATGTGCTACTTAAGTCCCTATTTTGAGGACTTAAGTGGTGCATGGGTCTTGCATTAGCACAGGGGTGAATTTCAACAAGTGGGGGAAACCTCAAGTAATGCTGTTTGTCAGGGTCTCACCACACTGGCACCTCCTGCTAGCAGGGGCAGCAGTTTTGTATAATTTTTGGTGGTGCCCAGAACGGGTCCAAGTTCCGCTCAGCCCCCCACCCCCATAAGCCTATATATGTTTTTTAAAATAATGTAAAAATGGACTGGAAACAGTAAGTGTTTAACAGTTTCCCTATATTGCACAATGGGGCGTGTGTGTGTATTTGGCGGGGGGGAAAATGAGGGCTCTGGCTAGGGGTGCAGGCTCTAGGGTTGGGCTGGGAGGGGGCTCAGGGCTAGGGCAGAGGGTTGGGGCGGATGAGGGCTCTGGTTGGGGCGGATGAGGGACTCAGCTATGGCAGGGGGGTGAGGGCTGCGGGTGAAGGGTTCACAGTGCAGGAGGGGGCTCAGGGTGGAGCAGAGGGTTGGGGTGCAGGGGGGGGTGAGAGCTCTGGCTCAGGGTGCAGGCTCTAGGGTGGGGCAGGGGTGGGGTTGACGAGTTTGGGGTGCAGGCAGGCTGCCCTGCGGCTGGAGCCAGAGAAGATAACGCCACAGTCCCCCCCTAGCCCTATCTCCACTGGCAACAGGAAGCTCCGGGGGAGGGGAGCCCCTCTCCTCCCTGGCAGCACACTCACCCGGCACCGTCACTGCACGTGCTCCTAGGGGCCAGGCCCCTCTCAGGTCCAGGAAGCCCCCTTACCTCCCCTGTGGTGGGTGCCAGGGGATGGGGCTGCCATCACATGTGGCCTCCTCCCCTGCTACCTCTCTCCATAGCCTCATGGGGCTGTCCCTTGCCCAGCATGGGGCAGGAGTGGTGGCTGCGTGGATCACACACTCGGACACTCACCCACCCGAGTCCTAGCAGCTGCTCAGGTGAGGTCCAGACTCAGTTTCCTGGAAGCCCCCTCGGTGTCGCCTCCTGGTGGGTGCCAGGGAAGGGGATGGCTGCAAATCATGTGTGCACCTCCTCCCCCAGCAGGTGCAGCAGCTGCCTCAGCCTGCCACCTGCGCTGCTTGTGATGTAGGCAGCAGCGGCCACGGGCAGTGGCGAGGGAGTGCAGCATGGAGCAGCAGGGCAGCCGCCCGCTTGAGGCAGGGATGCTCCAGGGCTCAGGGGAGGCGCGCGGGGGCTGGGGGACACTCCGGGGAGGCGCACGGGGGAGACACCTGGCTCCAAACATTGGTGGAGCCGGGCCCTGAATATTCCTGGAGCCTTGGCACCACGGGCCAATACAACTCACTGCCCCTGCCTGCTGGCTGTTTCGGGCATTAGTTCTGGTCAGCAGGTGTGCTCTCCGGTGGTGGTGGCTCTCCGGTCCTAGTCTCCACCTGAAGACCCACTGCCTCTCCTTCGTGGCACAGCCCTCTGGCCATCTCACAGTCCGGGTTCCCCCCTTCCAGGGGACTCCTTCTGCATCAGTCTAGCAGCTCCTCGCAGCGGCTTGGCAGTCCACAACCTGGCTGCTGCTTCAGCAGCGTGTCTGTGTTGGGCAGGGGGTGGCGGACCCAGACCTGCCCACTACTATGTGTCCCAGCCGAGGGACCCTGTAAACAACAGCTTTCTGCTGCCCCTCCTTTCTTTCTCCACCAGTCTGTCTCAATTCCCTCAGCTACTTCCCCACAGCCCCAGCCCCTTCGGCTCCTTCACCCGCTTCTCAGGGCCTCGGGCCTGCAAGCCCTCATAGCCCTGTTCAGAGTGTTAGTCCTACAGGCCTCTAGGACACCAGTCCCCTCCCTTAGGCTTCCTGCAGCAGACTCCTTGCTCTGGCCTGCAGCTTCCTTTTCTATGGGCCAGCTGGGCCCTGATTGGTTGGTCCTGCCACCACCCTAATTGGCTGCAGCCACAGCTCTAATTGGTGTTTCCTTGCTGCCTTCCAGACTGTGTTTTGACCCTGTCAGGGCCAGTGCGGGGCAGATGCCCAATCACACTGTTGCATAGGTTTGAGCTGGGGAGCTCAACAAAGGCAGTATGCATGGTAAACCTATAGAGAGCACAGCAGTATCGATCTGATCAGAACCTGGGTTCATTGCTGTCTGTCACTCTTCATCATGTTTCCTTGTTTAGATGGAACGGCAAGACACTTTTTATGTTAACTCAGGAGTAGTACACATGCCAGCTGCTGCTAGGGGGGAAAAATGAAGCAGGGGTTTTTCGCCGGAGCACATCTCTGAGCATTTTGGACCATTGGCTCCAGGGCAGGTGTGGGTATCTGCATACATTCCACTTCAGCTGGCGACCTGCATTTTATTGTTCTTCCCATCTTCTTTCCCCCCTTGCAAGATACTGAGCGGTATCAAGAACACAAAGGAAAGGTACTTCTCTCGCCACCAAGTCTTCCATCACAAGTACATGGAGATTTGAATTCTGCGAAAGAAGCTTGCCTGGAGCTTAGGAAGAAATGCACAGGAATTTCTACATGGAATAATGCATATGCCCTTGCCAGGGGGACCGTATTGTTGAAGAGTGAGGAGAGCAATTCCTATGCCTATGTAAAATCAGGTAAGTTGACTTATTAGAACAACCCATAGATCAAATCCACTGCATCACATGACCACTTACATGCTCTGAGTGAAATTCTGATTCATTGGTGTTAATTGAACAACTCCCATTGACTTTACTAGAGTCAGGCTTTCACTCTCTGTTCCTCCTGCATCATGTAGAAGGGCAGAGAGAAGCTGCTTCTGGTGCCACTGTGATCTCCGTATTGATTGTTAGGATAACAGCAGTGCCGTGGTTATAGCTGCTTCCCAATATCTTGTATTTTTCCCCTGAAAGTATGTCACATTCTCCAGTGTTGTATGATGATATAGCTGAAGACTTTGTGGGAATGACCATCCAAACTTTTGTGAGTTTCCTTTGGGCCAGTTCAGTGAGACCATTGGCCTGACAAGCTGCACACGTGTTACCAAAGTTTCTGTCAGGGGCAAGTATGATCTGCTCAGAATTGATTATGCACTGTGGAATTTAAAGTCATATTTTTAAAATAATTTGAATAAATTGTTGCCCCTTTTCGACCTGAGCAGCTAGTCACATTTCATGGCCCTGGGGATGTTCCATTTGGAAGTAGAAGTTGGTGGAGTCTGGTATTTTCTTTGATGCAATCTTGTTTATTTACCAAGAACTTACAAAGTGCTGCTGCTCTGAATGAAGGGGCAACCAAGAACAAGAGTAGCAGTTTCTAGCTTACAGCTCCAGTCCCAAAAGTTCGCTTTCAAGCTTTTTCCAGGGTCTCACTGTGCTCAGGGGCTAGCGCTTGGCTTTCTCTTGCTTTTGCCTCTGGCTCTCTCTCTCCCTTGTCACTTTCTGTGTGCTCTCTAACTCTTTTCCCCCCCTGAAATCCAACAAACCTGGTCACAATACGCAGTGGAACCTACCCGCTTGGTGCTTGTTTCTGGGCAGATTCTATTAGGCCTTGTTTTAGGTATGGCTCCTTAATTGTTTATACAGCTATCTTAAGCGAAGGGAGTGTTCACACATCTGTTTGAGTGAGGTTTTAACTAAGGGTATGTCTACACTACGGAATTAGGTCGAATTTATAGAAGTCGTTTTTTTAGAAATCGGTTTTATATATTCGAGTGTGTGTGTCCCCACAGAAAATGCTCTAAGTACATTAAGTGCATTAACTCGGCGGAGTGCTTCCACAGTACTGAGGCAAGCGTCGACTTCCGGAGTGTTGCACTGTGGGTAGGTATCCCACAGTTCCCGCAGTCTCCGCTGCCCAGTGGAATTCTGGGTTGAGATCCCAATGCCAGATGGGGCTAAAACATTGTCACGGATGGTTCTGGGTACATATCATCAGGCCCCCGTTCCCTCCCTCCCTCCGTGAAAGCAAGGGCAGACAATTGTTTCGCGCCTTTTTTTCCTGAGTTACCTGTGCAGACGCCATACCACGGCAAGCATGGAGCCTGCTCAGGTAACCGTCACCGTATGTCTCCTGGGTGCTGGCAGACGCGGTACTCCATTGCTACACAGTAACAGCAACCCATTACCTTCTGGCAGCAGACGGTGCAATACGACTGGTAGCCATCGTCGTCATGTCCGAGGTGCTCCTGGCCAGGAGTGCCTGGGCAGACATGGGCACAGAGACTAAATTTGGAGTGACTTGACCAGGTCATTCTCTTTAGTCCTGCAGTCAGTCCTATTGAACCGTCTTATGGTGAGCAGGCAGACGATACGGATTGCTAGCAGTCGTACTGTACCATCTTCTGCCAGGCAGGCAAGAGATGAGGATGGCTAGCAGTCGTATTGCACCATCCTCTGCCGGGCAGGCAAGAGATGAGGATGGCTAGCAGTCGTATTGCACCATCTTCTGCCGAGCAGCCATGAGATGTGGATGGCATGCAGTCCTTCTGCACCATCTGCTGCCAGCCAAAGATGTAAAAGATAGATGGAGTGGATCAAAACAAGAAATAGACCAGATTTGTTTTGTACTCATTTGCTTTCCCCCCCTCCCCTGTCTAGGGGACTCATCCCTCTAGGTCACACTGCAGTCACTCACAGAGAAGGTGCAGCGAGGTAAATCTAGCCATGTATCAATCAGAGGCCAGACTAACCTCCTTGTTCCAATAGGAACAATAACTTAGGTGCACCATTTCTTATTGGAACCCTCCGTGAAGTCTTGCCTGAAATACTCCTTGATGTAAAGCCACCCCCTTTGTTGATTTTAACTCCCTGAAGCCAACCCTGTAAGCCATGTCGTCAGTCGCCCCTCCCTCCGTCAGAGCAACGGCAGATAATCGTTCCGTGCCTTTTTTCTGTGCGGACGCCATACCAAGGCAAGCATGGAGGCCGCTTAGCTCACTTTGGCAATTAGGAGCACATTAAACACCACACGCATTATCCAGCAGTATATGCAGCACCAGAACCTGGCAGAGCGATACCGGGCGAGGAGGCGACGTCAGCGCGGTCACGTGAGTGATCAGGACATGGACACAGATTTCTCTGAAAGCATGGGCCCTGCCAATGCATGCATCATGGTGCTAATGGGGCAGGTTCATGCGGTGGAACGCCGATTCTGGGCTCGGGAAACAAGCACAGTACGTGTTACTGGCCTGGAGTGGTAAAGTGTCCTACCATGAAGGACGCAATAAGGCTGCCCTCCCCAGAAACCTTTTGCAAAGGCTTTGGGAGTACATCCAGGAAAGCTGTGAATGCCAGGGCAAATTAATCCTTTCACATGCTTGCTTTTAAACTATGTATAGTATTTTAAAAGGTACACTCACCGGAGGTCCCTTCTCCGCCTGCCGGGTCCACGAGGCATCCTTGGGTGGGTTCAGGGGGTACTGGCTCCAGGTCCAGGGTGAGAAACAGTTCCTGGCTGTCGGGAAAACCTGTTTCTCCGCTTGCTTGCTGTGAGCTATCTACAACCTCATCTTCTTCGTCTTCGTCCCCAAAACCTGCTTCTGTGTCGCCTCCATCTCCATTGAAGGAGTCAAACAACACGGCTGGGGTAGTGGTGGCTGAACCCCCTAAAATGGCATGCAGCTCATCATAGAAGCGGCATGTTTGGGGCTCTGACCTGGAGCAGCCATTCGCCCCTCTGGTTTTCTGGTAGGCTTGCCTCAGCTCCTTAAGTTTCACGTGGCACTGCTTCAGATCCCTGTTATGGCCTCTGTCCTTCATGCGGGAGATTTTGACAAAGGTTTTGGCAATTCGAAAACTGGAACGGAGTTCTGATAGCACGGATTCCTCTCCCCATACAGCGATCAGATCCCATACCTCCCGTTCAGTCCATGCTGGAGCTTTTTTGCGATTCTGGGATTCCATCATGGTCACCTCTGCTGATGAGCTCTGCATGGTCAACCGCAGCTTGCCACGCTGCCCAAACAGGAAATGAGATTCAAAAGTTCGCAGTTCTTTTCCTGTCTACCTGGCCAGTGCATCTGAGTTGAGAGTGCTGTCCAGAGCGGTCACAATGGAGCACTCTGGGATAGCTCCTGGAGGCCAATACCATCGAATTGTGTCCACAGTACCCCAAATTCGACCCGGCAAGGCCGATTTAAGCGCTAATCCACTTGTCAGGGGTGGAGTACAGAAATTGATTTTAAGAGCCCTTTGAGTTGAAATAAAGGGCTTCATCGTGTGGACGGGTGCAGGTTTACATCGATTTAACGCTGCTGAATTCGACCTAAAGTCCTAGTGTAGACCAGGGCTAAATGCATAACAAGGTTTCGCCCAGCTCATAACAATATTGTTTTGTGTCTTATTGTTGGTGGTTGTTGGTATAAGGCAAAATTGTGGCATTTGGCTGAAGCCCCAATGGCTACACTGCCTTGCGGTGAGCACCATAAGGCATTCTTTGAGGGGTGAAGCATACCTGCACTCCTGGCTGGCCCTAGGGAGGCAGAGCCCCAGCCCTTTAGGCTCCTCACCCCTGCCTCCTTTCCACAACTAGCTTCCTAAAGGGAGCAAGCAGGTAGTAGCCCTTGTGTTCTCTGGGTCAGTCAGTTTGGGGAGCCCTTACATAGGCTACCCATGCCCCTTACTCCTTATCTGACTGTAAGAGCTAGCCACAGTCTCGCTATAAATTTGTATCATGGCAGCCTATGTGTCCCTGAAATGAATGACAGTGCTGTTTTCTATCTTGTTCTTAGATTGCTCCACGGGTTACTTTGGAAGGGATTGTTCGTCTGTGTGCGGTTTGTGTCACAACGATGATCTGTGCAATCCCTACACGGGAACTTGTGATGATTTTCATTTGTGCAGTGTTCAGAGTGCACCTACAGCCTGTGAGAGAGGTACCTAAACATAAGTGCTTTATGTGTGGCGGGTTTACCTAATGCAGTACAAAAATTTAAAGGTGAGCGATTGCCCTTGTTCTTGGCATAAGCAATATTGCATGTGTTCACTCCTAGCAGTTATTTCCCTTTCCCCTGCATTTTGTCAATGCTTAACTAATTCTCCTTTTTTGTTATGTCAGTAATCTGGACCCTTGGGTACTGTTACTCCTTTGTATTTGATTAGCTATGAAAAGTTTGTGGTGCCCTCGTTTTTCTGGTTGGTCGTATTGGAGTGGCAAATGTTACTACTTCAGCACAGAGGCCCCTGCCAGCTGGCTTCAAGCAAGGGAGAAGTGTAGAAGATACAGAAGTGCAGATCTGCTATGGATTGAGAGCCCAGAAGAAATGGTATTTCTTAGAATTGGTGGGGAAATGTCAATGAAAAAGAAAAATGTTACACACAAGTATTTTCCATTGTTTGACATGCTATAGTATTTATGAAATGTGGTCTTAAAAATATCAAATCTAGTAATTCAGTCATTGGGTTGGAAAGCACCTGTAAATAACTCGTTCATATTTTCTTGTGTCACTAACAGAATTGGTTGTTCTCGGTGATTCCATCAGAAACCTTTTGGACTGGATTGAATAGCAGGCAGCAAGAGTCTATATGGATTTGGTCAAATGAAAAGTCAGCTGCTAAAGAACTCGATTGGTAAAGTTAGTGTGTGACCCTAACAGGCATTGTAAGCACCAGAATCTTAGCTGGTGTAAACTGATATAGCTCCACTGAAGTTAGTAGAGCTATGCTGACTTACACCAGCTGAGAATCTGGCCCATAACATCAGTTCAAAGCAAAACAGAATTTGTCACTTTGAGACATTTCAGCACAATTGCTGTACTGAGGAAGGTACAGTATGAAGTGATGCTGAAGTTGCAACAGTCGTACATCCTGGAAAAAATGTACAAGAGCTAGGGAAAATTTTTCAAATGAATATGAAAGAGTCTGATTTTTTTTTAACGAATTTTTCCTCATTTTCGACCAGTGCTAAAATGCATCAATCTGGAATCATGTTATCAATGTATTGAAAAGCTGTAACAGATCTAGAAACTAGCATGAGACACTGCTGAGTTTGTGAACTCTCTGTGACTCAGAAATAGAATATATGCCATGGATGGAACCAAAGCATGCTGTGATAGCCAGAGCATGCAATTTACTTAAGTCCAAATTTGTCAACTTGGTCCCTTGAAACGTCTGTCAACGAGCAAGAATGGGGGATGTCACTGAAAGCAGAAATAGAGGAAGCTTAAAAAGATGTGTGGCTCATTCTGTTAATATAAATATGTAGTGCCCTGTTGACCCTAATGCTTTAGAGACCAGACTGATCTCATCTGGCTTTTTGCTTGAGTAGGAATCTGATGGGTTTTGGAAGGAACACAGATCTTCTTCCCAGAGTTGTAGAAACTGGTTTATTTCTTTCAAATGTTCTTTTTGCATCCTGAACAGCCAGTGTGATCTATTGGATTAAGCTTGGGGCTGGGAATCAGATGATTTGGACTCTATTTGTGGTGCCTTTACTGACTATTTTCAGAGGAACAGCCGTGTTAGTCTGTATTTGCAAAAAGAAAAGGAGTACTTGTGGCACCTTAGAGACTAACCAATTTATTTGAGCATGAGCTTTCGTGAGCTACAGCTCACTTCATCAGATGTATACCGTGGAAACTGCAGCAGACTTTATATACACACAGAGAATATGAAACACTACCTCCTCCCACCCCACTGTCCTGCTGGTAATAGCTTATCTAAAGTGATCAACAGGTGGGCCATTTCCAGCACAAATTCAGGTTTTCTCACCTGGATTTGTGCTGGAAATGGCCCACCTGTTGATCACTTTAGATAAGCTATTACCAGCAGGACAGTGGGGTGGGAGGAGGTATTGTTTCATATTCTCTGTGTGTATATAAAGTCTGCTGCAGTTTCCACGGTATACATCTGATGAAGTGAGCTGTAGCTCACGAAAGCTCATGCTCAAATAAATTGGTTAGTCTCTAAGGTGCCACAAGTACTCCTTTTCTTTTTACTGACTATGAATTGGCACGAGTTACTGAATCTCTCTTTGCCTCAATTTCCCCATGTAAACTGGGTAATATAATACTTGCCTACCTCTGTAGAGGAATCTGAGATAAGTGCAAAGTATTCTTTAGCCCCTGGGAGAGTGGCACTGGGGCATGGGGCTTTAGCGCCATGAGTAGGGGGTGGAGTGCCAAGGATCGGGGCTTCAGCCCCACGGTGGGATGGGAGGAGCTCGGGGCTTCTGCCTCATGAGAGGTGCCAGGGCTCCTGTAGGTTTGAAAATATTTACCAGAGCTCTGCTCCCGATGGCTCCAGCTGAATTTAAGCCCTGCTCATGGATCATGTAGGTCCCACTTATGTCATGTGGTACTTATGTAATATATGTCTTGTGTTCACCCTCTGCACAGTGGTTAATTTCACTCCTGGAATCTGATCCTGAGTCAATGGAAAGACTCACAAGGATGTTTTGAGGATTAATTAACGTTTATAAAATACTTGGAAGTTGAGCAATATTGTTATATATGCTATGTGTTTAAATGGCTGTCCTATCACAGCTAAAGCTTTAAAAAAGATAAACCTTGAATCATAGAATATCAGGGTTGGAAGGGACCTCAGGAGGTCATCTAGTCCAATCCCCAATTAAATCATCCCAGCCGGGGCTTTGTCAAGCCTGACCTTAAAAACTTCTAAGGAAGGAGATTCTACCACCTCCCTAGGTAACGCATTCCAGTGTTTCACCACCCTCCTAATGAAAAAGTTTTTCTTAATATCCAACCTAAACCTCCCCCACTGCAACTTGAGACCATTACTCCTTGTTCTGTCATCTTCTACCACTGAGAATAGTCTAGAACCATCCTCTTTGGAACCACCTCTCAGGTAGTTGAAAGCAGCTGTCAAATCCCCCCTCATTCTTCTCTTCTGCAGACTAAACAATCCCACTTCCCTCAGCCTCTTCTCATAAGTCATGTGTTCCATACCCCTAATCATTTTTGTTGCCCTTCGCTGGACTGTCTCCAATTTTTCCACATCCTTCTTGTAGTGTGGGGCCCAAAACTGGACACAGTACTCCAGATGAGGCCTCACCAATGTTGAATAGAGGGGAACGATCACGTCCCTCGATTTGCTGGCTATGCCCCTACTTATACATCCCAAAATGCCATTGGCCTTCTTGGCAACAAGGGCACACTGTTGACTCATATCCAGCTTCTCGTCCACTGTCACCCTTAGGTCCTTTTCCTCAGAACTGCTGCCTAGCCATTCGGTCCCTAGTCTGTAGCGGTGCATTGGATTCTTCCGTCCTAACTGCAGGCACTTATCCTTGTTGAACCTCATCAGATTTCTTTTGGCCCAGTCCTCCAATTTGTCTAGGTCCCTCTGTTTCCTATCCCTACCTGCCACCGTATCTATCACTCCTCCTAGTTTAGTATCATCCGCAAATTTGCTGAGAGTGCAATCCACACCATCCTCCAGATCATTTATGAAGATTTTGAACAAAGGGATACAAGTACTTCCAGTTTAACATTCAGTGGTCATGTATTTTGTATTTCAGGTTATCCATGAATGGACATCCATCTGGAAGATGTGCAGGTATCCAGCCAGCACCCAGAAGTATTTTAAAGTTTAACTGTGAAAATAAGTACAGATGGCTTTGTAAGAAAGCTGAATGTAAGTTGCAATGAGGGAGTTTAAGGAAACTTTTTCCAAACTTTCTAATTTTTTTCCTCAACTTTCGGGGGTGGAGGGGGGGGCCTTGAAGTATGAGAATAGAATATAATACAAATTAATTATATAAAGCCTCTGTCCTGCAAACCTGCCCGGAGTTATTCAGTGTTTAAAGTGACCATAGAGATTATTAGTAGATAGTATAAATTATGGAAAATGGGGTTTAAAGACTGCAGGCTGGGAAAAAATAAAAGCATTTAGCTACCAGAGTAATACTAAGTTATCAAGGAAACAGACAATGGAGGAAAGATTTGAAAGTCAATATGGTGGAGAGATACATCAAGGTTCTAGATGGCAGGAACTTCTGAGGAGAAGGTTCTTGTATCAACGCTAGCCAGACAGGGAGAAGTAGTAGAGACAAACCAATGGAGTGGGGTAGGGAAATGAGAGCAAAAGGCTTGTGAAACAGGGTAGCCTAAGTCCATGGAGAACAACAGTCCTTGTCTGGATCCTTATCTGGTGTGAATGGGCATAGCTCCCTTGAAGTAGTTGAGGCTGCACCCAGATGCACCCAGATGTTTGGCAATCTGGACTGCTACTATGATAGCAGCAGCACAGCTACGGTTTTCCACAGGGATTGTTAAGGATATTTTCATCATTAAAACTCAGTTCTTCCCCTCCCCAGTTTTCTTCCCTAAGCATAATTCTGTGATGATCTAAGGTATCCTTATGGAGCTCCCTCTTTAGGTGGAATAGAATCCTTATTCTTCTCCTTGCACTAGGGTTCACACTCCAGATCACATACCTTTTGTGACATGTTACCTTAGAGCAATATACTGCTCTGGATCAGTGAATGAAACTCCCACTGGTTTCAGTGGCAGCTGAATGTACATATCAAGAGCAGTCTAAGATCTTTATTTCTGTGCATTGTTTCGTTGACATCCTGTTAAGTGCAGCTATCTTTATGCCAAGAACGTAGTCTTGAGATGATGTGTAGGGGGAGACCTGCTGGTTGCAGGCAATCCGTGATGATGTTGTTGTCACGGAGTCCCTGGGCGATGCTCTGGAACTGCTCCCCATGAAGCCAGTCAGGACTCTGGGGCAGTCGCCTTTCTGTGAGCAGCCTGTCTGCAGGACACACAGCTCACACAGCTTCCACCTTCCTGGGTCTGACCTCGGAGCATTCAGCATCCTCTGCCCCTCCGTGCGCTTCCCCCAGCGAGTCCGCTCAGGCGGGGCTCCTGGGGAAGCCAGAGGGTCCTACACCCCAACTTCGCAGTCAGACGTGACTCTCAGCCAGCCAGTAAAACAGAAGGTTTATTAGACGACAGGAACATGGTCTAAAACAGAGCTTGCAGGCGCAGAGAACGGGACCCCTCAGCTGGGTCCATTTTGGGGGGCAGTGAGCCAGACAACCACGTCTGCACTTCACTCCATGTCCCAGCCAGCCCCAAACTGAAAACCCCCTCCAGCCCCTCCTCCTCTGGGCTTTGTTCCTTTCCCCGGGCCAGGTGGTCACCTGATTCCTTTGTTCTCCAACCCTTCAGCTCTCACCTTGCAGGGGGGAAGGGCCCAGGCCATCAGTTGCCAGGAAACAGGGTGTTGGCCATTCTCTGTGTCCAGACTCCTGCACACACCTGCCCTCTAGGGCTCTGCAATGATCATACACCCTTACTCCACCCCCTAGATACTTAAGAACTGCCTAGGGGAAACTGAGGCACCCCCACACTATTCAGAGGAAACATTAAGAACAGTCCCACTTCGTCACAGTTGTGTATTAGTGATGACAGTCCTATCTCAGCTGATGGAAGGAGAAGAATGACATAACTTGAAACAAACTGACAAGGTTGTATAAAATGCTTGTGGTAAATTTTGAAAACCTCCATCTGTAGTTTTCTCATTTCATTCCACTTATATAAAATGGATTTAATTTTTCAAAAATTCTTTGAAATCTCATGTCCTCTTGAAAATGGTTCTCCTGAGAAGCAAAACTCTCTACGTTTTTGATATATTGAATTTCCAAATTCATAATTTAGTTGAGGTGAAGATCAGTTTGCACAATAAAACATGCACGTTCACCTCAGTCTGGCATCTAATTTTGCTGTATAGTTTGTCCATATAGTCCTGTGCATGCTTTTCTATGCAAATTTTAGTAACACGTGTATACACACAAACTACAGGTTTCAGTAATTCTACACATCCAAAACTAAATGGAGTTTTGAAAATTTACCTTGTATGGCTTCCAAAAACATAGTTCATTTCATTGCATGGATTTGTTTTTTCTTTTGTATTTTATAGCTCCACATATTTTTGATGTGTTTCTTAGTCGGTACCTGTCAAGACCATTTTCATCACAGAAGATGTACAACTCCCTCCATAGTGCTAAGATAGACTGCTTACATGACAGGAACTGCACAGGAGTAGTAAAAGTCTCACAGTACTTCAGAAGAGTGGCAGGAATTGATGAAATCCACTTTGCTCCTTTTAGTGCTCCCTCGAGTGCTATTTCATATGTAAAACGTGGTATGTGTCACACTCCAAGTACAAATTTGCTGCAGGTACAGAAGAATGATTGCCATGTGGTAAATTGCATTAACTTTTCACCTATAATTGCCTCACCAGTCTATAGTGGTTAAAGCAAGTTGAAATGTTTCATCAAAATTTGCCCAGTTTTGAAAAACTGAATTTTTTTTTTTGTGGCAAAAATACTTGTGCCTTTTTTTAAACTAGTCATTTTTAACAAAAGCTTTTTAACATTAAAAATTAGACTGTTTCTTGTTCTTTTGATTTATTTTTTTTTTTGCATTGCCAGTTTAGCATGATCAATTACTCATGTAGCAGGCTTTTTTCAAAACAGAAATAATTTTTGAAAGTTTTCCAATTTCGAAAATGACTTTTTGTACTTAAAAAAATTTTATGGAAAATTCTGAAAACCCAAGGAGATGAAAAAACATTCAAATTTGCAGAAATTATTTGCAGAAACTGAAAACTTACTTCAAAGTCTTTGGTACTGATTTCTTCCTCTGGTAGGAAGACTGTTGACTGCAGATTATGGTGCTGAAAGGGGTGCAAAGGTAACGGTAAGCTCCCTGAATTCTGGGGCTGCTCTGTGCTTGACTGGTCTCTTGGCTAATGTTAGAGCAACCTGAAATGTGTTTTAACTAGGGCTGTCAATTTAATCGCAGTTAACTCATGCGATTAACTAAAAAAAATTAATCGTCCTATTAACTGCACTGTTAAATAATAGAATATCAATTGAAATATATTAAATATTTTGGATGCTTTTCTACATTTGAAATATATATATTTTAAATTACAACAGTATACAAAGTGTACAGTGCTCACTTTATATTATTTTTATTACAAATATTTGCACTGTAAATATAGCAAACAAAAGAAATAGTATTTTTCAGTTCACCTCATACAAGTACTGAAGTGCAATCTCTTTAGCATGTAAGTGCAACTTTCAAATGTATATTTTTTTTGTTACATAACTTCACTCAAAACCAAAACAATGTAAAAACTTTAGAGCCTTCAAGTCCACTCAGTCTTACTTCTTGTTCAGACAATCGCTAAGACAGATACATTTGTTTATATTTATGGGAGATCATGCTGCTCGCTTCTTATTTACGGTGTCACCTGAAAGTGAGAACAGGCGTTCACGTGGCACTTTTGTAACCGGCATTGCAAGGTATTTACGTGCCAGTTATGCTAAACATTCATGTGCCCCTTCATGCTTTGGCTACCATTCTAGAGGACATACTTCCATGCTGCTGATGCTCGTTAAAAAAATAATGCATTAATTAAACTTGTGACTGAACTCCTTGGTGAAGAATTGTATGTCTCCTACTCTGTTTTGCCTGCATTCTGCCATATATTTCATGTTATAGCAGTCTCGGATGATGACCCCGCATATGTTGCTTGTTTGAAGAACACTTTCACTGCAGAATTGACAAAACACAAAGAAGGTACCAATGCGATATTTCTAAAGATAGCTACATCACTTGACCTAAGGTTTTAGAATCTGAAGTGCCTTCCTAAATCTGAGAGGGACGAGGTGTGGAGCATGCTTTCTGAAGTCTTAAAAGAGCAACACTCCATTGTGGAAACTACAGAACCCAAACCACCAAAAGTGAAAATCAACCTGTCTGCTGGTGGGATCTGACTCAGATGATGAAAATGAACATGCGTCAGTTCATAGTGCCTTGGATGGTTATTGAGCAGAACCTGTAATCAGCATGGATACATGTCTTCTGGAACAGTGGTTTGAACCATTAAGGGACATATGAATCTTTAGTGCATCTGGCACTTAAATATCTTGCAACGCCGGCTACAACAGTGTCATGCGAATGCTTGTTCTCACTTTCAGGTGATATTGTAAATGAGCAGAGGGCAGTATTATCCAGGGTGGATTTGATTTAAATCAGATTGATTTAAATCATGATTTAAATCACTGGTCAGGAAGACTCTATTTAATCACGGATTTCTACATAAAAGTGCATTCTTGTTGGTTGTTTTAACCTTAATATATATTCTTCACAACTCAGCGATAGATGTAGGTTTCATTTTTAGAAGGTGCACACTATACATTTTTAAAGTGGTCTATTTTGAAAACTTTTCAGATTAGTTTTACAGCTATATCAGAAAATGAATGATTGATTATTTCATTTAACAAAAGTAATTAAAGCATAGTTCACCTCCCAGTGACTTCATAAATATCTCGAATTCAACAGGGGTTAATCATTAATATTTGGAAGATTTTCTTGCCATGCTGTATTAGGAGGAAAGCATCACCAGACAGACATTTAAATTGTTTTATTTAACTAAAACAACAACATTATGTATTCTGGATTTTTTTCTTCAACAGCAAACATAGAATATTTTAACAAAACAAGCATATGAATTTTTGAATTTATTTAAACGTTCAAGTTTTTAAAAATCAGGTTTTTGTTAAAATTGTTTAACTAAAATAGTTAAATGAAATTTAAAAAAAAATTAAATCTACTATGTCATCCAGGTCAACATGAGAAACTTAAAATATTGGCTTCTGCAGCTAACTCAGTCGTCTTCACCTTCATCTTCCTGTTTGTTCATAATCTGGAAAAGAAAAACAAGCTTTCCTGCTTTTTCAGGTCCCAAATGATCTCAATTTTGGAATGAATTAGTCCAAAGGAAGAAAATATTGTTTCTACACTGGCAGAAGAAGCTACTGCTGTTAAAAGTGAGATTATCACTTCAGCAATCTCTGAATCCAAGTGCTTAAGTGACTTCCACAAGTTCACTGGTGTGACTCTTTAAAACATCATCAAACATATACTTCTTGAGTGGCTCACCCTTAGCTCTGGAGTTTATTATAGCTGGCATTATGGAGGTATGGTTGCTGGATGTCCATGTCATAGCCAACTCCTCTTCTTCAGCAGTTAAGGTTTGACCCTGATACCAAGTTATTGAGAATATTTGCAAGAAAATTAGCTGGAGAAATAGTGCTTGTCCTATTTTTTTTTTTAATGCTTGTAACTTAACTCTGTCATTGCATAATTTCTCTTTTTAAGATCTCGCTCAGTTCCTTCCAAATTTCAACAGCATCAGCAATAAAACAGGTATTTCCTGCATTTTGTTCAAGGCTACAGAAATAGGCTTCAGGGTCTCAGCATGTGTTCGACATTTCTCTTAAGCCCAGTGGTGAGAACTTTGGCTGTGACAGGGCCATCTATTTTTTCACGATTTTGTTCACAAACTATCATCAGATTAGGCCAGTTCTTCAGACAGTGCTCAAAACAGTCCACTATTGAGTTCCATCGCACATCTTGTGGGAGATTTAGCTTGGTTCCTCCCACTTTTTTCAGAGCAGCTGTTGCAAGGTGGTGGTTACAGAAGTATTTTGCAATTTCAACATTAGCCTTTATTTCTGGAACACTGAAGTCTTTGGCTAGAAGGTGCATCAAATGAGCACTGGAACTGTATGTTATTAGTTTGGGACTCTCTTCACTCTCTTCTAAATAATGTCTTCTCATCTTGGATACATTTACAGCATTGTGTGTAACCAAGCTGCGGACTAGACATTTGCATTTTTTTCACAATTTATAGCTTTTACTACTACTTCTTGTCAGTATTCTGCTGTGTGTGGCTTTCCTGATGTATCAATTGTTTCTGTAAGGAAGACATTCCCTTCTTCTGTTGTCACACAGGCACATATAACAGGATCATTGTGGACATTGCTCCACCCATCAAGACTCAGGTTAACAATTTTACCCTCTAGACCAGGGGTGGGCAAACTTTTTGGCCCAAGGGCCACATCAGGGTTGCAAAACTGTATGGAGGGCTGAGTAGGGAGGGCTGTGCCTCCCCAAACAGCCTGGCCCCACCCCCATCCACCCCTTCCCACTTCCCACCCCCTGACTGCCCCCTTCAGAACCCCTGACCCATCCAACCCCCTTCCCCCCGCTCCTTGTCCCCTGACCTCCCCCTCCCAGGACCCCCCGCTTCTATCCAACACCCCCGGGGGGCAGGAGGGGGTCAGGAGACAGGAAGCAGGGAGTCCCTGCTCCTTATCCAACCCCCCTGCTCCCTGCCCTCTTACCATGCTGCTCAGAGCAGCAGGAGCTCGCAGTCCTGCCGCCCGGCTGGAGCCAGCCATGCTGCTGCGCTGCCCGGCAGGAGCGGCGGGCCAGAGCGCGGGTGGCACAGCGAGCTGAGGCTGTGGGCGAGGGGGGACAGCAGGGGAGGGGCCGGGAGCTAGCCTCCCCGGCCGGGAGCTCAAGGACCCAGGACAGGGTTGTGGCCCGCGTGCCGTAGTTTGCCCACCTCTGCTCTAAACCTTTTGCACGCTGCTCAGTTTCTCTTTCATACACTTTATCCAGCAATTTGCCTGTGACATCTCTTTTGTGTAGACTGTATCCTGGTCTTAATGACTGAACCATGTTAATGAAGTGTGGGTTCTCAGTCATACGGAAAGGAGAGTTTGTTGCATAAACAGGACAATTTTTCATCATTACCTCTTTTTGTAATCTGCTGGTTCTTATCACAAACTTATCTATAATTGTTTCTGGATGATGGAGATTTTTTTAATTTTTTTTTTTTTTTGCTACAGGTGATATAGTGTGGCTATGTGACATACATGAGTGACTGAAACACTATCATTGGCAGATAACTCTGAAACTATATCTACCTTCAAGATCACCATCATTTTCTAGTCTTCAGAATCCTGTATGTTGAGGGTGGATTCTCCTAAACAAAATAAGTCAGTGCAGTTATTTAATTATTATTACCATACTGCTCATTTAGTATTACTCATTGCATTCATTGACACTCAGTACTACTTTAAAGGTGAAATTGTAAAAGGAATATCTGCCTATTTCAGCTATTTATTTTTTATCACAACTGCATCTAAAATGATAGTATCATAGAGTAACAACTATATTTTTTGTTCAAACATGAGAATTCAAGAATAGTCCAGAAGGAAGACAGGCATTCCTTAAGAAAGAAGTATGAAATAAAAAAGTTTACCAACCTGAGGATCCGGTATGTTCAGACACGTTCCTTTCATCAACTTCAACGCAGCTTCCTTCTGAGAAGGAACGCTTCTCATGATATTGTTTCATTTGGATAACCAGGCCTTGCATTTCTTTGTTACACTGTTTGAATTTTGCACGCATGCCTGTCTTACCCACAAGTAGAAGAACTTCATTAGAATATTCCCAAACTGGGTCTATTTTATGGCCTGCTGCAATTACAGGTTTTCCCTTCTATTGAGAGAATGGTATGGTAGATCTCATATCAATAAAGGCTACACTCAGAAAGACCTCAAGACTTCTGGAATATACAGCTCAAACAGTTACACTTTTGTTTCTACTGCCTGTCCCTCCCTTCTCACATTTATCTCCAGACTTGTTCTCCTTGTCCAGATCTATTCCACCCGCAACAATCTTCTATTCATTGAACTTTTTGAAACTTTGCATTTTTAGAGAGAGGTAAGGGATTGACTGACTCTGTGTACATAAATTTGCAGAGGGACAATAGGGTTGAAGTCTTATTTCTCACCTCTATATATTTATTTATTTTAAAACATTTTTGCTGTTAACAAGCCTGTTATCTCTGAAGACACAAATCCACAGTTTGAGAACTGCAGACTAACCATCTCTGATGGTATCTTCTAGATAGAGCACTGAGTCCCATTGGATAGATAGAGCACTGAGTCCCATTGGATAGATAGAAAGATTAACCTAAATAACCTATACAGAAGCCCCTGGGTCCCTAATCCATGAACTATTGAAACTCATTTACAAAACTTTTCTTAAACATTACATGAATATATTGTCCCCTACTATAGACTGTATAATCCCTATTACATTATAGGTCAAAGATATCTCATCATGGATCTTAATTAAAACTATCTTTAGATAGGTTTTTTCCTCAAAAAGCAGTTTATAAAAAAAAATCAGATTTTTTTGTTTTTAAATCATTGATTTTTATCCACCCTGATTGCATCTCAGTAAATAACACTTCTGCTTAAGGGCCTGGTCCTGGAATTCCTTAGGAAGTAACAGTCTCGTTGAAATCAGGATCAGGTCTTTCATTAGTAATATTTTAGATAGCTTCTTAGCTATATCACTTCTCCTCTACATTTAAGTCTGGTATGTTGGTTGTTCTTCATACAGAATGTTCTTTGGGATACTATGGAGAAAACTGTGCAGGAGTTTGTCTGCAGTGTTCTGGAAACTTCAGATGCAATTCAGTAACTGGCAAATGCCCAGAAAAGTTAATGTGTGTGGACAAATTTAAAGGTGAAATTTGTGAATCAGGTACAGTAATGTTAATTAATTGGGTTTTTTTTTATTCACTTTTTCTGTCTAATATGTATAGTGCACACATAAAATTATATTACCTGTCCCAGGACATCCTGGATCTTAAATGTTTTAGTGTGACCTGCAGATTAACCAAAATGAATTATTCTTTGAATATACTGAGTTGGGCTAGCTTCACAAAAGGATTTAAGCACCTAAGTCACTTTAGGCACCTAAATCCCAGAATCAGGCCCAATTGGGCGTTCACAAAACCTCTGCTCAGCTCCACGTCTACATTTTTGCAGTAAAAGTTTCCTAGGTGCCTATGTTTCTGCCTCTGTGCATGGCAGCCCCACTAGGCATCCAGATGCCTTTCCATCAGAACAGTGCACGAACTGGAGGAAGATAGACATTCCTCTGCCTAACTTGCCTGCAGGGCCTCATCCAGTGAGCGTGCTCAGAGCTCACCTAGCAGATGTGCTATATCCTCTGTTTTATACCTAGGGAACTGAAGTTACAGGTAGAGCAAAGAATCATACCTGTTTCCCAGCTCCCAGGCTGGCACTCCAAACACTGTACCATCTTTTCTCTGTAGCCCAGATTTGGCTCATTGTAACTTCAGGGCATACATCAGCTACAGAATCAGTCCCTTAATAAGGGCCTGATCTAACTCTTATCAAGTCAAATGGAAAATTCCCATTGACTCCAGTGGGAGTTGGATCAAGTCTTAACTAAGGTAACTTGTTTTTCTTTACAGTAATTCTCAGTCATTAGGTTGTAGGACAGGGATCGGCAACCTTTGGCCCATGGCCCGCCAGTGTAGGCCCCCTGGTGGGCTGGGCCGGTTTGTTTACCTGCTGCGTCCGCAGGTTCAGCCGATTGCAGATCCCACTGGCTGCGGTTCGCTGCTCCAGGCCAGTGGGGGCAGCGGGAAGCAGCACGAGCCAAGGTGTTATGCTTAAACAGAGGGATGTGCTGGCTGCTGCTTCCTGCAGCCCCTGTTGGTCTGGAGCCACTGCCAGTGGGACCTGCGATCGGCGGAACCTGCGGACGCGGTAGGTAAACAAACCGGCCCAGCCCGCCAGGGGTCTTACCCTGGCGGGCTGCGGGCCAAAGATTGCCAATACGTGTTGCAGGATTTTCTTTACCCCAACAGTTTGTTCCTTTTCTGTTGCTTGCCCTTGATGGAGACTTGGGATATTTGGCTGTTTTGAATGATTGTGTGTATGCACATACGTGTGTGTGTATAGGTGTACATGTGTGTATTTGTTTTCTCTTTATTATTCAGTATTACTTGTGCTGATTCTCATCTCCTCCCCTTTGTGTACCAGCAGTTACATTATATAACAAATTTTGTCTCTGGAAAGGTAGAGCCCTTCTCTGAGGCTATAACTTGTGCAAATTAAAAGCTGAAGTGCAGAGGTTTATTTAATTTGAACTTTTTTTCTTTATAAAAAGAAACCTAACAAACGTTTCCACAGCATTGAAACTCTGAACAAATATGGGTCTTGTCTTGCTTCTGTTGAAGTCTATGGCAAACTGTTCAGGAGACTATTTTTCATGTCATGGCTTCGATGTCTTCTGCTTTTATAGTGGAAACAGAACCCTGCAGACGGGTCTTGGCAGGTAGGCAGAGGAGATATTTTGTTTCTAAAAATAAACATGGTCTCAATTTTTGGAACCATATTTTCGGTGGACCTCCTTAAGGGCACCTGAAATACTTGCATGCCCGCCTGCTAATTTCCATGTGCAGAATGAATGCACTTAAGCAGTTTGCAGACACAGGGAAAGAGACTCACTGAAAATGTGACCCATACAGTTTCAAATAGTTAGCAAATTTCTTTATGGAGGTGTAAAGTATTTTTAATATCTTTTGCAGACTCTGTGGTGGTGCTTATTTTATAGTAGTGCCTAGGATTTCCAGTCAAGGATCAGGGCCCCAGGCACTGTATGGACAAAGCTTTGCTATTCACCCGTTTAAAAGTGTGTACGCCTGTCTTCAGAAACGTGCACATACCCCTGTGGAACCTCACAGCACATTTTTTCAGCTAATGGCCCATCTAGCTGTGTCACTGCTCGTGGTCTGTTGTCTGTTCATCCTGGATGATATGTTACCCGGGTTGATACATCTTTCTACATTCCCTTTGCCCTTAAACTTCTTTGTTTGCAGGACTCACCAGTTTAAAGTGCCCTCAAGACCCCACGTGGTGGTATTGGAATGGAAACTGTTATTACCTAGAAAAGAAAGAGACTATGCGGTGGGAGCAGGCTCTGGCCCAGTGTGCATTGTATAAGCATGCTAGTCTTCTCCAAATAGATAGTGCAGAAGAAAAGGTATTTTTGAAAAGGGAAGGAGTTATTTTCATTCCAAAGAAAATCTGTAGTTTGAAGGTCTTAAATTAATTTTGTATTGTCTTTTCAATCTTGAAAGTTAAATTTCTCTCTGGGTACTCTGTCGGTCTCCTCTCTTTGGGGAATGCTTTATTTCAATGTAGTTCTAAGGCAGCAGAGCCAACTCTTCTTCCTCTTTGTTTATCAAATGGGGCTTTTCACTGACTTCCTGGCAGGATTTGAGGGACAGTTGGATGAGAAGAGCCTTGTGGGAGTTTTAGCAACAGCAGAAAATTGTTACTGTTTCAGATGTGGGTGGCTTCCATGCTGGAGGGTGGCACCTGGATTGGTTTGTCAAAGCAGCAGTCTGGTGCCTGGCAATGGACTAGCGGACATGGTGCTAATCTTGCAGTCAACTGGTAAGGAGTTACCACCTTAATTATGAAAACCTAGCAGTCAAGGAGCTGGGGAATGGGTTGACTTTATATGCTTGGCTGTTTCATGTACTCAACTGATCTTCCATAGTCTGAGATGCTTCCCCAGCTAACTCCCCCTGGGAATCACGGCTATAGCCTGCTGGAGCAAAGTATTTGAGACTTGTTTTAATTTTAACCATAGTAGCTGTCATGTTCTCTGTACATTAGCATTAGCTGCAGATGCTAGAGCTGACAGTTGTCTAGTAAATTTGGCAGGCATAAAAATTTCTGTTAAGCAGGAAAATGGAAGACATCGAGATTTGCTTTTATAATTATTAGTGTAAAAATAATCTTCACGAACAAAGGGGTATATAACACCTGGTTGGAACCACTTTATGAAGCAGTACAAATAAAGTGGTGGATGGACTCTTGAGTCGCTTTGTGAATCTCACCCTTAATCCTTCTCTGTGCTGGAGATTTGTCCTAACTGTTGCCATCGGTGCCCAGCCTGTAGCGTAGCTGCTTCACTGCAGATTCCTAGCGTAACATTGGTAAAGAGCTATGAAGTCATGATTTACACTATTGCAGCTTACCTTGATTTCAAGCAGGGATATCCTCCACAAGTGCAAACAGCAGCTTTGTGGATCTATGCCAGGGGGAGGTGTGTGCTCAGTTACACTGATTGCTGGCCATTGGGGCAGATCCACATTGGAGACACAGTCTTATATTGCTAAACAGTCAGGCTTCCGAGTGATCACTGATAGACTGCCCATGAAATTCAGGCCTCTTTATCTCGAAGGATGTTGGCCCCACCATCCAACAGTTCCTTTACTGTGGGAGCATGAAAAAGGGACAGAAATTAAGATTAGTCCCAAAACTAGCAGAAATATTAAAGCTGCAAATGTATTCTTGATGGCTTTGTTGTGTAGCTTTCCTATCTGCATTTTCTGTCTTCCAGATCCATTAGAGATAAGTCTTCAAGTCACTTTAGGTGGACAAAGTTTTAAATATCATGTGTACATCCTCAGGTCTTTGATTTGCTTCCCAAACCATGCATTTTAGATTCTGTAGGTGTTCTGAGGATTAACTCTTCTTAAATTCCTTTAATTCTTTAATTATTGTGAAGAAACTCTCATCTTATTCTCACGTTTCTGTTCTATTTGTCAAAGATTAATGAACTTTAAATCTACTAATGCAAAGTATTAGGTACCGGCATTTTTTAAATAAAGTTTTCTAAAAGATATATTGTAGGAATTATTTTGTGGATGTTCTATGTCCTGTGTGTTACAGGAGGTCAGACAAGATGATCATAATGGTTCCTCTGGCCTTCGAATCACTGAATTTGCATGTGTGCATTTGGCAATTTCAATAAGAAACCTTCTGGAATTAAATACAAAAATAGCAGAAAATGCATTTGCACTCCATAGATACAAAAAATTTTAATCACACTCTTGAAGAAAGCACCTGAAATCAACATAGGAATTATTGAAATGATAGAATAACATTTTGTATTTGAATGTGGAGAGATGTGATTTCAGCATGAGTGTTTCTTTTCCTTTTGGATAGATTGACTCAGTTGAATGCTTGACCTACTTAAGATCATATTGTTGCCATTATTTCTGTTGTATGTAGCAAATGGGTATTAATGGGTTTATTGGGATTTTTTTTTGGGAGTAGTTACATTTTTCAGTAGTTTTGAAAAGAGCCAATATAACAAAGAGGAGAGAGGGTATTTATATTCTGATAACTTCTTGTTTCATAATAAAAGAACAATTTACTGGGGAGCATATTGTGTGTTTCTGATTGTACAGCAGGGCTAATGATTGCTTTAGTAATCACCTATGCTTCCTTATTTTTGTAAACAGGCTTTCAGACATTAAAAGGGGTCAAAGTGGGTGCGCTCAGATGAAGAAAGGAGGAGAACTTATGGCTACTAGTTGCTCCACACACCTGCTCTGGGGGTGTGAAAAACAAGCAGGTGGTGATCTAAAGAACCAGTACTCGTGTCTACAGCTAATTATGTAGGATCTTATAAGATGCTTTTCACAATGTATCTGATTGCATGTTGCTGCATATGTACTGTGCCCGGGGAATGCAGATTCCAGAGCTAGCTAACTCTGTGTGCCAAGTATTCAGGTGGTATAAATGGGTTATCTCATTAATTTAAATGGAACTGTGCTGATTTCACAGCAGCTGAGAATCTGCCCCTAATCTCCACAATGTAATTTAAATTAGGAATTGCTGTGGAAGAACAATTTAGAAAAAATGTATCAACAAGATACTTTCAAAACTAATTCATGATATACAAAAAGACGATCATGAGATGTGTCTTATTGACAAACCTCAAATAGCGAAATTGAATTACTGTATTACATGCCATGGTATCTTTTGATAAATCATGTGGTGGTTTGTTTGACTTTATACGTGGTAACTATTGAATAAAATGAAGCTATTGTGTGAAATTCCTTCTGTGTCTCCAGATGGACTGTATAAAATACTACTACTTAAATTTGTGCTGCTAGAGAAGTTCAGCCCCCCCAAAAAAATATTTGTCTAAATGAAAAAGATTTTCCCTGCAGATGAAGCTTTCTGGGTTCAGACAACAAAACAGTTCATAAAAAGTAAGGGTCTAAAATAATTCTGTACAACATGGTGTGCATCAGAAATCGGTGCATTAACCAGGAAAAAACCAGGGCTGAATGGATCCTTCATTGCAGCCTGCACTCTTTCTGCTTGTACTTATTAAAATACTTAATGAGTAGTCATTAAGGCCCCAATTCAGGAAAGCACTTAAGCATGTACCTAACTCCATCACTGTGCAGGACAACACTTGTGTACTTTAGTCCTGCAAGTGAATAAGTGCTGTCCTGAATAGGGATGCTTTTGTGAAGCATGGCGTAGTTGCTCTAGAAACTTTAGTCCTTCAGCTAGTGTAATTGCCATGGATAAGGGAGCTGCGGGCCAAGCTAGTCTGACTTTAGCATCTCTGTGATTCATGCTGTGTGTTCCTGTCAACCTTACAACCTTCTTTTCGCTTGCAGACCTTGATATTTTCCTTGAGTATCCTGGAAGAATACTGCTTTCTTTGGTGACAATGGCTCAGTACAGTACCTTAACTGAAGCAAAAATCTATTGCACGATGAAAGCTCATTGTACAGGAATAAGTAGTTGGGGATCCAAATTTTTTCTTGTCTCAGGAAGTGAAATGGTGTCAGCTCCCCAGAGATGTATAGTTTACTTGAAAACAAGTAAGGATCCATCTTTTCTCTTTAGTAATTACTTAAAAAAAATATATAGATAAGATTTAAAAATTTTTTGTTTTGTTTTTACCTTTGTTTTTATTGTATGAATAAAGAGTCAGCAAAAGTAAAGATTCAGACTCTTGTTAAGTAGGAGATTGTCATAGGGCAGGGGTTCTTGGTAGTACAAGCTATTAGATAATGGAGAGAGTCCAGGCAGCATCGCTGCAGTTATTCAAGAATGGGTTAGTTAATACATTTCATGGAAGTGGTATAGGTGGCAGTCTCTGGAAATGCAGAAAATCCTACCTGATGACTCAAATGATCTGTTCCTGGTCCTGCTATTTATGGTTCTTTGGTTCATTTATTAGGCACTGTTTAAGAATTGTGGTTCTCAAACTTAGATTAGGCTCCTAAATCCATATTTGGACTAATAATTTGCCTTATCTTCTCCAGTCCTATGATTCATAGGTTCTGTGCACTCTTGGTTTCAACATAGCTTATTAGCTTGGAAATCTAGATTCCACTTGTAACAGGAGCTTACACCATATTCGGAAATTTTAATTTATAAAAGTTATAACTATACTTTTGGCCTTTGTATAAGTCTCTTGTTAGAGTGTTTTTTTCTTAGATGTTGTATAGCTGACTACTTTTCTTGCCTCAGATGATGGAGACTGTAGGGATGACATGAGCTTGTGCTGAGTCACATATCTGTTACATTTTAAAGCATTTATTCCAAGATAACATCTGATTTGAACCCAAATGCTGATAGCTGTTTCTCCAGCCCAATTCTACTCTCTCATCTGGTTCTCAATTTTGGTAGTGGAGATTGGAAAAAAATGAACAAGAAAGGAAACAGTTGGATGTAATCTGTCTGTTAGTCTTGGAAATTTGCTATGTGTTTCCCTTATCTAGGCTGTGTTTCTGGGCAGTATGGATCTGGCTGCAGGAAAGCCTGCCCCCGCTGCACTAGCATCCTGCCTTGTAACAGTTTGACTGGATTCTGTGATGAGAAAACCACGTGTCTGTTGCCATTCACTGTAGCAAGCTGTGTGGCAAGTAAGTACTAAAAGGGGACACCTCAGAACACCCAGTTTTCTTTACTTTGCCTGGGTTTTAATCCACATAAAAATGAGCTGGCTAGGGTTAGGAGGGATGTTGACAAGAAATGATGCCCCATCTCTTTCATTTTACACATGTCAGTCATTGAAACTAGATAGATGGGGTGCTCGGTCCCTCTTTTGTGGACTGGTGCCTAGGACTGTGGCCCATGAAAGCCCTAGAGTGCAAACTATCTTTCTCTTTGGTGCTTGTGTCCTCTCCGTGCTCTTGAGCTCCTGCAGACCAATACTAGTTTGAAATCTGTCTGGTTTAGGAAAGATGCTGGACTGATTATATTGGATCCTTAAATCTTCTGATAAGCCACAGAAAAGGTGGAGCAGCAGTGCAAACCTCCCTCTCTGTTGTGCAACAGTAAGGCAGAGCACTAGTCTTCATGCCAGTTCAGTTCGTGGCTTCTCTGAAACTACCAAGAAGGAGTACTTGTGACACCTTAGAGACTAACCAGTTTATTTGAGCATAAGCTTTCGTGAGCTTTTATTATGCTCAAATAAACTGGTTAGTCTCTAAGGTGTCACAAGTACTACTTTTCTTTTTGCGAATACAGACTAACACGGCTGTTACTCTGAAACCTACCAAGAAGGGTTCAACATGAGGCCAAGTGTACCAGTGGGTGGTTTTACTTGTTGGCCCAGATTCTCTCCCTACATCATTTCTTTTGTCCTTCTAGAATGGTGCTATGGGTATAGAATATGGCCCCGTTTCCCCCATCATGGCGGGGAGGGGAGTCCTCAACGGGTGTACAGCTGACACAACCAACTTCTGTGCCACCCTCCCTTACAGTCCCCAGTGCAAGGGAGGAGGAGGATGTGTGCCTGGAACTCCAACTGGCAGACAGTCCCTTAGGGACTCTCGCTACCTAGCGGAAGTTTGAGTAGCCCTTACGCGACTCTGATTGTGGCTAATCAGAGTCTCATAGAAATGTAGGGCTGGAAGGGACCTCGAAGTCCACCCCCCTGCACTGAGGCCGGACCAAATAAACCTAGATTATCTCTGACAGGTGTTTGTCCAACCGATGCTAACAATCTCCAGTGATTGAGCTTCTACAGCCTCCCTTGGAAGTCTATTCCAGAGTTTAACTACTCTTACAATTAGAAAGATTTTCCTTTATTTCCTGGGCCTTTTTTTTTAATGATCATATAAATGCATATGTGTGTGATACATGCTCCTGCCTTCACCCAAAAACTCACAAGGCTGAATATTAAGATTTATTATTATTTAGCTTGCAGTAGTGTGTGTGTGTGCAGAGAAAGACAGTCCCAGCCTTGAGAAGCTTATGTTCTTAAAAACAAAGGAACAGAAAAAGGGATATAACATAAAAAGACAGTGTTCAGAGTGACGACTAAGATTAATGTTGTGCTGACTGGTGTATATGTAATTGCTGTAGGCCTAAGAAAATCATATAGAGGAACCATATGGAAGAATGCTTTCACTTTGGGTCAGCACTTCTTAAAAATGCACTGCTTATAGCAAAATGTCTGTGTGGACATTAAAAACAGAAATAACTATAGATTAATGCACCTGCATTACAGCAGTATTACAAAGCACATAGAAGCCCAAGAATAATAGGCTACATAATAAGGGTTATTTAAACCATGATCTTGTAGGTCAGAGCTGTGGGAGGAACTGCCTGATTTTCCTTTAGGAAGCAAGTTAATCATAATTTGCATCCCTTTAACACCTCTTCATTCCAAAGAGTAAAGTACTAACCAATATGGTGGAGTCCAAATACAGTGGTATTTGGTGCTGCAGGCAGAAAGATAGGACCTGATTCTCCTCTCAAATACAGGTAACTGCATTGAAGCCACTGGGATTACATCAGTGTAAAACTGACCCGAGAGGAGTACCATGGAGTCTTAGTATTTCATAAATGCTGCAGAATATGTATAACTTCATGGCGATGCTGCCACTTTTGGAGTGACGGGAAGCAGCTGAGCTGACATTTGGCACAGGGCACACTGTTTAAGAGTAATAAGAAGTACATCAGGGCAAACTTCAGTTTGAAATTGCTATGGGGTCTCTCCTGTGTATTATAGAGATTACAGATTGCATCACTGGACACACAGGTGACTAATTTGCCGATGCACGCACACTCAAGCACTCATCCTGCAAACACAAGAACATGAGAAACTTTCCAGGATCAGGGCCTTATTGTAGGTGCTAAATTGTACAGATGTGTCTGTTCACCCAGTTTGTGCACATAAATACAATTGTGCACAGAAATGTAAGTAAACCCATTGTTCATGTTCCACTACATGCATCTGACGAAGTGGGAATTCACCTACAAAAACTTATGCTCCAATACATCTGTTAGTCTACAAGGTGCCACAAAACTCTTTGCCAATTGTTCATGTGGCTCTCTGGTCTACTTTCTGTCCATGCACTGCAAACAGCTTAATTAAAGCCTCTTCAGGGAGCTGAAAGAGAAGTATCTTGATAGACCTATTGATGAGGATCCAGGAAAATTTACTGTATCACATCCAATTTTTTTAAAAAAATCATGCAATCTCAGGAGGCTGAGGAACATATGTATTTTCCCTCATGCCTTAACTTCTAAATTTTCAAAGTGGTTCCCAGGGATCTCATTGTGCAGCCTCTGTTAAATTCAAAGGGAGTCATGCGGAGGATGAATTATTCTCACACATACACACACACACATCCTCCTCACCATGCAAAATGCCAGTGCAAGGCCTATACATCACCTAACTCACATCACTGTAATATGGGATAAGTAGGAGAATTGTGCATAGGCCTTATGCCAGCCTTCTTTGCAGAGAGGAATTTACTGTCAGAATGAATTGTTAGCAGTTTTATGAACGCAAAGAATGTGACTATTTTAAGGGTAAAAGACCGTCATGTTGTTTTTGACATAACAGATCAATGCTGTGGCTTTTTGTTTTTTTTTAAAGCCACAGTCAGTCTGCAATGTCCAGATGAGGCTGGGTGGCGCTACTGGAACAGGTACTGTTACTATATCTCACATGCTAAAACGAAACCGTGGAAGGATGCCAATTCCACCTGCAGTCGATACAGAGGTGCTGAACTGGTTTGGTTTGAAAGCCAGGAAGAACTGGTACAGTTATTAATGTCACCGCTTTTCTTCTCTTAATGGGTTTTTTGCCTAGGCTGGCAGAACTTTGGGAAGGGTGACACCGCTCAGGTGTTATGGCACGTGCTGAACATCTGGAAGTTCCATTGACGTTTATGTGGAGCCCTAGGCACCACAGGAAGGTTTTTGGATCAGAAGTGTTTGCTGTATCAAGCATCCAAGGAATTGGCTTGATCTCAGTGGACTTTTTCTGGCATGAGACATCAGCAGATTTGGACTCAGATAATATGGTTTTCTTCTCTTTTAATAATTGTCCTGTTTCATTTTGATAAAAACAGTAAAACCACAGACACTTTTTCCTTTTTGTTTCTGAAAACTTTTGTATACAGAGTTGGATTAAATCATCTCTGAATGGACCCACATGGACAGGGTTGCAAGATATAAACAAAGATGGCACCTGGGCCTGGGCACATGGAGATAATGCATCTAGTGTATTGGAATGGTCTGTATATCAAGCAATCTATGTGCATCTATCATAGTGTGGTTGTGATCTGAAACCACATCAAAACAATAATGAGATCCAAAAAAAAATCAATTTTATTAGCTTAGACATGTTAATGTCCAGATATTCAGGTAAGATCCATCTAGTCATTCTACTCTGTGTGGGAAAATATTCATGGGCTATTTTATAGACTATATATAAAATATATAGAGAATATACCTGTACACTATGTATAGAATATAGTATTTGTAGAATATTTTACAGTCCCCTTAGGAAACCAAATTCAGTTCTCTCTCACTTCAGCATAAACTAACTTGAATGAAGTAATTCCAGATTTACACTGATGAAGGGCAGACGCTGACTCAGGTCTTTATCTAGTATTTCTCTGATTACACCCATTGATGTTAATTCTTTAACCTTTCTTTGTTGCTATTCCATTGTCTTAAGTTATAAAATATTTCTTCCTCTTTATAGTTTTTAATTAAAAAAACACAACCCTCTCAGTTTACTGGATTTTCAGCATATTGACGCTTACATGGATGTCATGCTCTGTAGTAAAGTAGACTTAATTTTCTGAAATCCAGTTCTGGTTTAAATTGTAGTGACTCCATTGGCTGCGAATAAGAATTCCCCTTATTGCCATGCTTTTCGTTAATCCCTGGCAGGCACTTGCAGACAAATCACCACATTAGCTTTTAGTCATGTTTCCACCTTTTCTATACCTTCTATCATTGGCATTGTCCCGGGGTGGTTCCATTTACTGACATTTTTAAGTTAGATGCTCGTTAGCCGCAAAAGTAACAGTCCCCCTGAGTTGTTTTTATTTTCCACAACAGGGTACGTTTCAGAAAGAGAAGCAGTTGGCTGAGATGTGTTGAAATGTCAGTTGGCGAACATATCATTGCAGCAGGCTGTAGGAGAGCCAAGGAATGGGTGTGCAAGAAGCCAGCAGAACCAGGTTTGGAATCTGATTTATATTCACTTACTGTGGGATATTCACCTCATTGCAGGTGGCCAGCATGGAGGATTTCAGTAGGTGTTAAATGGTGCCTACGTCTTGGGCTGGCTATCTGCACCCGGGTGAATTTCACCCTTACTGGTGTAAAATTTTGAATAATCAAGATTAGTTTTCCCTATGAGATTGAAGGCATTTTATTTCCCAAAGGGCTTTTGTAGCAGCATTGGGCAATGAAAAAAGCACCCATTACAACAAAGTATTTCAAAGAATTCTCACTCAAACTCATTCAAGACTGTCCAGTAGTGAACTTTCGTTTTGGTGTCAAAGGCCATCAAAAGTTTCAGGACACAGTTTTAAAAGTATAGGCTCAGAGGGAGAGATGACGTGTTACATGTGAATATGCGTGAATATGGGTGAATACATACAGATTGTCCTCTGATATTTTGAGACACCTGACGTTACATGGAAAAAATGTTCAAAATACTGTGTGGAGCTTCAGACAAGTAACCGCCATTGACTTATATATGCTGGCTATGAAGAAGTGCAGAGAAGTACCTTGTTTTATTGTCAGCAGACTATTTTTAGTAAAAGATTTTTTCATTACTGTTCAGATCAATTTTGCATCATTTCTGTTGAATTAATCATCTTGCGGTACTCCACTAGTAATGACATTAGCCGTTTCATTAATAACTTAGAAGGTGACTGGAGTAAATGTAGAAATATACAAAGTAATACATTTGCGTATACACACACACACAAACACACGCATATATTCAGCATAGTTTCCAGCAGTAAGTGTCCATGTAACCACTATGAAAGTTTTTCAGGGTTGGTGTTCAAAATCACAAGCTAAAAAAGAAATTTAACACCAACTCTGAAAAACTTCTATAGTGGTTACATGGACACTTACTGCTGGAAACTAAGCTGAATATATGCGTGTGTGTGTGTGTGTATATACGCGAATGTATTACTTTGTATATTTCTACATTTATTCCAGTCACCTTCTAAGTTATTAATGAAACGGCTAATGTCATTACTAGTGGAGTACCGCAAGATGATTAATGTGTATATATAACGTATGTTAATCACTAATGAGGAGTTAATGTCTTGTACTATAGCATTGTTTTGCTAAATCAATGAAAACCTTTTTCCCCCCTTCCAGATCTTGATTTGTTCATAAGCATCTGGGATGCAGTGATGATCTTGCCAACTCCAGCAGCATCAGCTAAATACACTAACCACACATTGGCCAGACAAATCTGTGTAATGCAGAGGTCCAGATGCATTGGCTACGTGTTATGGCAAGACAGTTATTTCCTAATACATGACTCTAAATTAGTTATCAGTGGATTTGCACAAAGCGCAACATACTTAAAATCAGGTAGTGTCCATTATTTAGAGGTACCTTTTCGGGAGATGTTAGAATGGATACAGAGTATCAATAAACTTTGTCCCTAATAAAATATTACAGCTTCCAATAGAGGTTTTCACTATAAAGCTTATGTGGATATTCTGCTCTGTAATAAGTGAATTTAGATTTCTGAAATCCTATTTTGTCTTAAATTCGTGACCCCTAGCTAGAAATTCTAAGCATTTCACATAGGTTAGACCTGAGAAACAATTATTCAGCATGGTTTCCAGCAATTACTGTCCATGTAACCATTATGGAGGTTTTTCAGGATTTTAATTTCTTTCTAAGCTTGTGATTTTGGATACTACGGACCATCTTGTGAAAAGAAATGCCCAGACTGCTACTGGGACAAGCCATGCACTAGCATATCCGGAAAGTGTGAGGACACTACAGTTTGTGCTGAGCCAGAGGATGTAGGTGTCTGTAATTTAGGTAAAGCCTTTTAAAAAAAAAAAAAAGTCAGATCTGTCTGAAATTGGGAATTGAAAGTTGAGAATTCCTTCAGCCAAGGAAAAAGTATTTAAAAATAACAAAAACACCCTCCCCCCAGAACACTCTGGTGGAATCCAACAAATGTGCACTGATTTTTCATTTTTATGGCATATGATTCTTACATGCAGCTAAATAATGTTACCCTGTTCTGTAGCTTTTTCTAATTCTACAGCAAAGGTCCATCAGTACACAAAAGGCCAAATTCTGTTCTTGCCTTCTCCAGTCTAAATGTCTAGTAACTACTTTAAAGTCACTGTAATTAGTCCAGATTGACATTAGTATAACAGAATTAAATTTGTATGATTTACTCCCTCTACAAGCCTGTTCACTTTACTGAGATTACGCAGTGCTGAATATCATTTTCTCCTGCAGAGAGATTTGCAAAACACAGAAGGGAGATGGCACTTCCCACTTGTGCTGTCTGCAGAATAAAATGTTTATACTGCGCTACATATGTACTGCAAGAATGTGTCATTAATGTCTTGGGGGAAAACATTAAAAATTGAATATGCAAAACCAAAGGGATGCTCTTAAGACTGGTAAACCTGACATGGATATGTGAATTCCTAGGCTCCCTCCTTTGCTCTTCCCTGTGTCTGTGACACTATTTTTTTGTTGGACAGTTAAGGTGCTGAGATTCACATTCACATACCTTGTCTGCTCATAAGAATGTTGCTCATTTCAATTCATATATATAAATATCTATATATCTCCCAGGTACCTGGCCTGCACCTCTGAGTATAGAGAGTGGAGCGGTAGTGTGATGTGAAGTTCTGGGGCCTTGTTGATTTTTTGTTTTGCTTTATAAAGTGTACAATATTGTTGCCATCCTCTGGGGTGAAATTCACCCCCTGAGCAGAGGGCTAGCCCAAGGCGATTGCACCATGAAAGTCCCACCCCTATTTTCAAACTCAGGCATAAGTGAGACTTATCTGGTGCAGTGACTTAGAGCTGGCTCTGCACAGGAGTGAATTTTGCCTTTGGGCAGCAGAGAATACCACATTTTCAGCAGGCCTCCAATAAGGCCAAGTGTGTTGCCAAATCTATTTGCATACTCACTAAAGTGGCATTTGCATGTGCACCTACTCAATTTGCACAAGCAAATGGATATTTTTGTGCATAAATATGGAAATAGCTGCCATATGGAGGAAACTAACTGAAAGTGTTCCCTGAAGAAGTACAACATTTGTCAGTCCCCCTCTTCATTCTAAAAGTGCTCCTGCCGCAAAATATAAAAAAGCTGGTAGAACAGAAACAATTATGTGGTGAGGGGGGCATGAGAAGCTAAATTTCACAGGAAACAACTTTTTAATTGGAAAAGGAAAGCTGTTATATCGTATTTTTCTCTTTTTTTTTCCAATGATGTCAGGCAAGTACAGCTTGAAATGTCCTCTTGGGCTTGGCTGGTGGTACTGGAATGGACATTGTTACTTTATAGAAAGGAATAGAACTCTGAGTTGGATGGAAGCCAGGCTGTTTTGCAGCCATTTTAAAAGAACAAGTCTGTTGCAGCTGGAATTGTTGGCTGAAAAGGTTTGATGTTATAAAGACTATGAATGGTTTGTCTCCTTCTCCCTGACTTTGTTTACGTGTTTGTGGTTAATACAATGGGGTCTAACTGGAATTTAATCATAAAATTTAATCCTTGAGAGGTCATTTGGTCCAGCTCCCCTGAGACAGGGCCAAGTATACATACACCATCCCTGACAGATGTTTGTCTTAATTCGTTCTTAAAAATCTCCAGTGATAGGTTTCCACAACTTCCCTGGGAAGCCTATTCCAGAGTTTAACTACATTTATAGTTAAAGATTTTTCCTAATATCTGACCTAAATCTGTGTTGTTGCAGATTAAGCCCATTATTTCTTGTCCTACCTCAGTGAAAATGGAGAATGACTGATCACCATCCTCTTTATAACAATCCTTAACATACTTGAAGACTGTTAACAGATTGTGCCTCAGTCTTCTTTTTGCAAGACTAAACATGCCCAGTTTCTTAAACGTTTCGTCATAGGTCAGGTTTTATAAACCTTTTATAGTTTTTGTTGCTTTCTCCATTTGTCCACATCCTTCTTAGTGTGGCACCCAAAACTGTACATAACAGAAAGTGATATGGTGACAGGGTTAACAACTTACCACCTGTGATTCGGACAATATTAAATTATGGGAAGGATATAAACTGCTGGTAAAATACACAACGTTTTATTTGTCAGTTTCTAGTGCAGTATGTATTGTTACTTTACAGGGCTGGCTACAAAAGATGATAAAACAGCCAGCATGGATAGGAATGAAATGGGAAACATCAACATCTGAGTGGCAATGGGCAGATGGATCAAGAGTAAACACAGCTCTGAACTGGTAGCCTTTCCTAAATTGATTTTTTTTTATGAATGAAAATGAGTAGAGTTCATAGGTTATTCGCTTTCTTGCTCTGTTACTTGTAGTCATTAACAGGTTTGAATGATTGACTCATTCTGTTGTTTATATCATGCTAAATTAAATAGTTTTTATGTCATGGCCTTAAAAAAAATAGACAATTCCCTCCAAACGTTAATCTATTTGTTGTTTTTCTTTTGAACATTTGGATTAATAAACACTTATTTTAGGAATTTAAATACTTCAGTGATCACATCCTGTGTACGTACAATTAAAAGTATTATAGCGTGGACACGTTAAATGCATTTAAATAAGTTCCTGATGCTATTTTGTCTGCAGTGTAGTGTAATGGCTTTTATAAACTATAGCTATGTGCTTTCATCTTCCTTCGATGTACTCTGCATGAAGATAGTGGTGCAGGTGATCATGGGCCCAAATTTTAGCTGAGTGTGAGAGTTAGGAGCCATGACATTTGGCTTGTGGAAGAATCCAGGGTTTGGAGCATAACTCTCGAAAATCCAAGGAGGAGACAGAATCAGCTGTTCAGAGGCCTCGTGCCTCTGGGTCTGCACTGGTTCCCATGAGAGCAGGGCTGTCCATTTGGTACCTGTCCCCTGCACCTGGGACACTGCTTTAAAACTTTGGGAAAGATTTGTAAAGGTATTTAGGTGTCTAACTTTTATTGATTTCCATGGGAGTTAGGTGCCCAAATACCTTTAGAAATATTCCCCTTTGTCTAGAATAGGATTTAAAGGTGTGGTGTCAGAAGGTATAAACCAACATATTCTAACATGTTCTAGAAGCCTGGTGTGGACTTTAATACATGCTGGACTTCATCTCACCCAGCTTAGTGTGCATTAAAGTCTACACTGTCTTGAGCACACTGGGCATTGAGAACTTGTTAGGTAAGACCTTCTAACACCATATCTTTTAGTACTAGATCTAGAAAAAGACAAAATGGATTTCCTAAGAGATAGGGGCTTCCCAGGAAAGTTAATATTGCCAGTGCCCTTTGCCCCTATTAACTTTCCTCTTCTGTTTCTGTTGGGTGCAGGGGGGTGATATGTTCTTCCCATCCCCTTCCCAAACTCTGAAATTTAACTTTGTCACATTGCATGTGTGGTATTTTCTGTTCCTCTTTTTCTGGCAAACAGTGTAGTACTATGTGTCTATATATAAACTTTTTTGCATTGTGTTGCTGTACCGTACAGCATCAGTTGTACAAATTTTGTTTATCTACTACATGGGAAGCCTTACTCTTTGCTCTTGAAGTCTTAACCTTTGTGGGGTTTGTTCTGATCCAGCTATGCAGCCAAGTTACTGCAGTAATGTTGGAGGATTTTACATATATTATTAAGTGTAATTAGAATTTTGCTTTTACTTCAGGTTAAACGTACATAGGAATGCAACTGCAAACTGTGTATTTCTTCAGCATAATAAAGTAGCTTTAGAAGCAGCTAGTTGCCTTTTAAAATATCATTTTGTGTGTAAAAGAAATGAAGGTAAGTTACAGGATAACTTTTCTGTTCAGTCCTTGCATTTCTCTGTTCTTTCATTTCTTCTTTTGCTTCTTCTACTCATAGTTTTTATTACAAATGATTCAGTATTTTTAATGAACTTATTCCACATGTAAACACAGATTTTATTTTTTTTATTTGTTTGCATAGATTTTTGGAAAATGTTCTTATCCTTTCTCTCATACAGCTGTGATTCTGTGAAGGATACTTCACTTAGAGAATCTTAATTAGCAGTGTGGAACACTTGAATGCGTAATAGACTATTTATTTGAAAAGGGTGATGCTGAGTCCATGAACAACAGGCCTGATTGTCTTCACATTCTAGTATAATTCCATTAAATTTAGCACAGTCACTGTCCATTTACCCTGGTCTAAGTAAGATCAAAATCAGGCCCAACACATTCACAATTGCACACTTCCATTTTTCATATATAATTAGTACAGTTGTGTGCACAGTGAGGAGTCTAAACACCCATGTGTATACACAGTCACCAGATTGTCATGCAGTTGCCCAAACCATGCTAATTTAGTCATGCAATTGGACATTGCATTTCTGTGCATGTACCTGTAGCGGGGTGGGACTCACCCCTGCAGCACCTCCTGCTGGTTGTCCAGGGAATTAGCGTTTTCAGCCTCTGGAGCATCCCCTGCAGGCCAGTGTCCCACTTGCCGCTGGGCCCAGAGTCCCTCCAGGACCCCGGTGTCCCTTTCACGACAGGGTACTGCCCCCTGGCAGTACTCTCACAGATCTGGGTCTCCCCGCCCCCGGAGAACCCCCACCCTCTATCCCCACCTCAGTCTTTGGCTACTGCCAGTCACCATCTAGCCCCCACTCCATGGGGAGGACTGCAGTATAATTGCCACTCATCATCAACAAGGAGGGTCTGGACCTGCTGCTTCTGCCTACCCTTGGGCTGTCCTCTGCAACCCAAGTACCCTTTTCCTAGGCCTTCTACAAGGCCTGCAGCCTGGGTGTTTCCCAGGCCGGAGCTCCCCAGCTCCTCTGGCCTTCCCCCAGCCCTGCTCCACTTCAGGTACCCTGCTCAGCTCCTAACAGTCAGGCCCATCCCTCTCAACATCTAGAGTGAGACTGTAGCCTCCTGGCCCATTGCCCTCTTATAAAGTCCAGCTGGGCCCTGATTGGGGCATGGCCGCAGCTGCGGCTGTTTCCCCAATCAACCAAGGCTTGCTGCTTTTCCTAGCAGCAGCCCTCTCACAGCTTCAGCCCTCTCCCAGGGCTGATATCAAGCCCTTCAGGGCAGGAGTGGGTGACCATCCCGCTACAGTACCTTTTGCTTTTTCCTTGAGTGGATTACTAGGATTGCTATATCAAGTGGATTATTGCATGGATTTCTAGGCTCTATGCTAGAGGATGAAGTATTCTATGAAGTACTGGGCTGGATCTTGGGAGATATGAATTCAATTCTTGGCTCTGCAACAGATTTCCTGTATGCCCTTGGTCAGGTCACTTGCTCTGTGCCTCAGTTCCCCTTCTACAGAGTTGAGATAGGGAGGTATTACTGTCTTTCAAGGGTGTTGTGAGAATAAATCCATAAGTAATCCTTATGGATTTATCCTCACAACACCTTGGGAAGGCAGTCAGATATTATCTATGAAAATGAAGGCAGTAATAGGTAGCTATCCTTTATAATTTTCTGGAGACAACTGGGAGTGTTGGGAAACAGCTGTAGGGTGTCTATATTTGAAAGTCCTTCCTGTTGTTTGGATGAGGATAAGTGTCTGCCGTTTCATTCTGGGATATTTTTCCTTCTCTTTTAGCTGAAGACATGTTTCAGTTTTATGCAGGCCACATCATAACACAAAGACAAAATTTGTTGCCAAAAGTATACTCTTCTCTCGAATCTGCTGAAAATGCATGCCTGTATGAGAAAACACACTGTACTGGAGTAGTCCGTTCACAGAAACAGTATCATTTAGTTAGTGGAACAGAGGTATTTAGAAGCTCTAATAAAGCTGACGCATTATATCTTAAAACTGGTAAGTATTTAGTGTATATATTTCTAGTTATGACCCAGACTTCGTTAGTACCTCTTACTTTATTATATCAGACTACCTTACAACAATAAATTAAAATACAAATTAAACTGTGTGTGTTCTCTTTAAAAGGATATCTCTTGTGTTTGGTCTCCCATTACTGTTGTTGTCCATCAAAAATGCCCTGTATATAAAATGCCCTTCAGAGTGACAGCTACTCTCCTCCAGAACGGGAGAGCTGATTTACTTTTTAAAGACGCATTCTTACTTCATGAGTCAGATCTTCAGGTACTCTTGAACTTTGCCAGCCATGTGAAGGGAGGAGGTTACACGTGGCTCTTGCAATATTTTTGCCCTGCAGTGCTGGGGCATCCGGGGTCCTTTTTGACTTCCTGCGCAAGTTAGATCAATTTCAGAGCTTTTTAAATTGTGCCAGAAGGCCAGGCCCATGACCCTCAGTGCAGCATACTCTGCCACATTTCTGGGTCACTCACTGTGCCGAGGGTCAAGAGTGGGTGCATGAAGTCATGCAGGCTGTGTTCCACCTCAGTATTCCCCAGCCCACTGCTGTCAGAGCAGTCCTCCATCCCTGGTGTGCTGCTCCAGTGATACATAGGAGGTAGATCAACAGCTGAGAATCTGACCTCAGAACTAAGACGGAAGCATGCTCTTAGAAACATAGGAAATGGAGAAAGAAGGATTAGTTTTTCTTTGATACACTGGTGTAAACATGGAGTAATTCCATGACTTCACAGGAGTTACTCCTGGCTTCCACCTGTATAAATGGGAACCAGGCCTCATATTATATGTCTATAGAAACATAGACTGAACGGTAAAAATAAATATGACCCAGTGAATAAAGAAACACAGATGTGGTGTAAATAGACATTAGTGCCACATTTAACAAAAAAGCTAAAATTACTCTTTGCAAAGCTTTTCCCTTTGTTAAGGTTATTGTGAGAATGGGCTGAGGTGGGTGTATTTTGGGGCAGTCCTTTATTGATGTATGTGTGACTTTATGGGGTAGGTGCCCAGGTCACTGGATATGAGCCTGTATTGTATTTTTAAAATGAAATAAATTTTAAAATGAATGAGGGATTGAATATTCCCTGCACTCTGTCATTTAACTCTGAAACTTCCTTTGAGGCTGCCAGCCAGGTTACTATGGCTCAGATTGTCAAGCCACTTGCCATCCATGCACCAATGGCTTTCCTTGCAGTGGTGTTACTGGACATTGTGTAGGCACTGCCAGCGTTACTTGCAGTTTACACTCTCAGGATCCACGGTGCTGTCCTAGCAAAGGTACAGAAAGCAACAGTTTGGAAATTCATATCCTTGTATTTATTGAGTCCCATTGCTCTTTTATTTGCAAAGTCGGGTACCATAACAATTTGTGGTGTTCAGTTTCCAGGCAGTTGTGCCCCCAGAGGCCTCGATGGCATTATTTTCTAAAGGCATGTTACTATGTGGAAGATACTAAAACTAAAACTTGGACTGAGGCCAGAAGTGCATGTCAGGGCTTTAAGGAGACAGATCTCGCTAAAATTACAAACAGTGCCGAAAAGGTACCCTGTCTAGTTTCTCATTTGACGGATTTCAAATTGGGGGATTTTGTAACTGTGGGAGGATTTTTTGTTTTGCTTTAGACAGAAGATACAATAGGGAACGCATTGTGTGCTGTATTTCCATCATAAGCTGCTGCCTGCTGAATGATTGTGCTTTCTGACTCAATAGTCTGAGCCACACTCAGTGCATCTGAGGAAAAAACGGCCCTACGTGGCTCTAATGGGTGGCTCTGAGTTATGCCAGCTGCAGTGATCTCACAAGCAACTGTATTGACAAGCTTAGGAGGGTGTCATGTCCCCAGTGCTTTGTAGCTAAGGTGGCTGGGGAGTATGGGACCTGTAGTGCTGGGAGAGCTCAGTGGGCTCACCCACACAAAAGGAAAAAGCTAGACACTTAATAAAAATGAGCAAGAACCAAATGGTTTGAGTCACTCTGTCCCATGTGGTAACTGGACAAAAGATCCTACATGTTGCTGAATGAAGAGCAAAATGGATAAGAGGCCTAATAACACGTTTGAATGGATTGTTTTTTCATTCTAGGTTTGGATACAGTTTAAAGGGGACAACAGCTGGATAGGTTTGACCTATAAAAAAGAAGACTTCAGATATGTGTGGGTTGATGGCACATCTGCTCGGTCTGAAAGAGCATGGTGAGACTAAATTTTGACAGATTCTGTTGTTTTAAATAGGACAATAGCAGTTAGAGAGAACCTGCAAGAGAAAGCCATTGAGCCCATCCTAGTCAGGGCTGAGGCTGAATACAGATCCTCAATAGAGAGCACCTTGGGTACTAAACCAGTGCCATGGCTATTAGCTACAATTTCCTTAAATAAAAATGCCACGCACACCTTCAAATCTGGAGATGTTGTAGTTGACCTCATTTGGTTTTGCAACTTGTTTTTTCTCCGTCTCCTGGCAGGGTCATGAAACGTAACAGGAGGCATACGCTCACTAAAGAAGACTGTGTGGTTGCCTTCAAGCAATACCTTTCCCCGGCAGATTGTTCCTCTCTGAGAAAGTGGATATGCAAAAGAGAGGGAGGTAAATTTATCGTATCTGTGGCTTAGAGCCCTAATTTAGGGTTCAGTTGTCTGTGTAAGAATGGGAGAAGAGCTCTTCTGCCCAAGGGGGAGTTCCAGGAAAAATTGAAATTGTGTCCGGACCTTGAGGAGGACATGGAGGTGGAGTGCTTGCTTATCTCTCTTTTCTCTGCACAGTCTGGCCTTTAAATTTAAGATTGTATGAAGTAAACCTATAGGACCTGATTCCTCAGTGTGTTGATCTGATTCTGTGCCAGTGTAATTTCACTGAGTTCATTGTAACTAAAAAGATCAACCTGATTCACCATTTCACTGTACTGCAGTTGAGCGCCAGAATATCTCATTGGAAATCATTCAGACTGGCCTCCTCACTCCATGCACAAGCTGACCCGGATTTGTAAGACTGTATGAAGTAAACCTGTAGGAGTAAACCTCAGGGGAGTTACACTGCGGTAAAATTGGACAAACATACTGGGCCCTGCAAGTTTATTTCATATTAAGGGCTAGATTGTGCACATAGTGAGGAGGCCAATTTGATTCACAGTGGAGTGATCTGGTGTTAAACTGGAGAAGTGAAATGGTGAATTAGGGTCATCATTTTACTTAGTCTTTCTCTAGCAACTTAGCCCTTTAAGAACCTGATTTTTCAGAAATATGGAACACTTGCATCTCCTATTGACTTGAATTAAAACAATACCTCTGAAAATCCAGAGCTAAGGAACTCACTTGCTAAGATTCATCTACTCCGTTGTGGCCCCTGGTGGAGATTTTAACAATATGACTTGGGCCAAGTCTAACTGGAAACTTTTGGTTAGGTTTGCAATTTATCTTTCCTGCCATGGCCCATCCCATCCTGCATATACATATTTTCTGAATTTCATTTTATGCCATCATCCATTTTATTTCTTTTTTTTTTTTAATTTTTGCAGATGTCAACCTCTTTACAATGCACAAGGGGAGAGCTTTGTACTCCCCTTACATATCAACGGCAAGTATATATAACACCTTAAAGAAAGCTACAGATACCTGCTCAGTGCTCCAGACCTGCACTGGGATCGTGGCAATGGGGGAGCACTACATTCTGCAAAGTGGGATGGAACTGTATAACAGCAGGAACAGTAGCGTGAAATCCTTTATCAAGTCAGGTATGTCAAGTGTTTTAGAGCTTAACTCCCCCTTGCCCCCCACCCCCATCCTAGGTGGGGAGGAGGTTGGAGTGGTTTTTTTGTATGTTGTTCTTTTAAAAGAAATGGATGTGAAAACAGAAGACAAATGTAAAAAAGCTGCAGAATTTTAGAGAGAGGATGAGTCAGGCCTAGCAGAAAAATTGAAGGCTTACTTCATCTTTGTTAACAAAAGTGAAAGACGTAGAAGGATGCTGCTTGTCTAGATGAGCAATCAGGCTGCCTACTCCCAAAAGCATAAAATAAAATGAGCTAGTACAAAACACCAGAGGAAGATCCAGAAAGCAAGGTTTTGAATGCCGTCGCTGCTTTAGTACAGAATAAACTAATACTGAGAAGTGTTAATCACTTCTTTCCCCTTCTGCTGTGCATTTGAAACTGCTAGCCCTGTGCCATGCTCTTAAACCTTTTTTTTTCTATGAGCATTTGTCTCTCTCTCTAGTTATATCTGTTGTTTTTTTTCAAGCACTAACAAGAAGCAGCCTTGTCGTTGCTGTGACAAAGCCCTGGGTCAAGACTTTTGTACACTGGGCTACCTTTTCACTTAAAGGCAGATATTTTGGAAAGCTCTGAGTGGGAACTAATATTTTCATGGTAATTTGTCATGGGGATGGCTTTCTTTTCCAACCTTACCGGACATCTTGCTTGTGTTGGTTTGCATTAGAAGCTGTAATCACCAGCCAAGGTCCCAGAAGGCACACTCTTAATTTCTGCTAATGGTTAATGAGTGTGGGTGTGTGCCTGCTTGTATGTGCAGACCCCAAAAGTTTTACCTTTACTTTAGGAACATGGTATTTTTTCCACAATTGTAATTAAACTTTTACTTTGGCAGCTGTTCATCTCTATTGTCCTTCGCTTGTTCCCTTTTCACAGATTGCATCTCTGGAAGATTTGGGCTTCTATGTGAATTTAAGTGTCCACTATGCGAGCAGGGTATGGCCTGCAATCCATACACAGGGCTGTGTGGTGACACTGTGTTTTGCAGTAAGGAGAATAGTCCTATCCCCTGTGGAAAAGGTGAGCCTCTTTAACATCCATAGGAGAGAAGAGGAAAACGTGACTATACACAGGACCTATTTGTGCACATTCTTGTCTCTTTATTCATGTATTATGTCATCACCATTCGCAGCACCTCTAAACGCAATGGTGATGCTCTAGATTCACACCAGTGTAAGTGGGGTGAGGAACTCCATTAAAGTCATTAGACTGTCACAATATATAACTCATGCCATCCTAACCTTCAGGAGGTTTAGATCAGACCTTCAGATTAGACCTTCTGACCTTGCTGTGTGCAGGAGCTCTGCAAACTAGGTCTCAGCTCTAATCCATTTTAAAAGAAACTTTATAGTTTTAAACAAATAGGAAAATCCCCATGTTATTGATTTTTATTCACTGTGTGCTGGAAAGAAAAGTGAAATTTGCCACTTTTGAGAAACTTGTTTAAGTCAACTGATTATAATTTAAAATATTTCTGTTGGCCAATGAGTAAGTCCATAAACATAGCCTAGAGCTGGGACTCAAACCAAAACCCCATAACTTCAGAGGTGTTTAGATATCTGAACTCCTGACCAAATCCAAATTTTGGAAATGGTTCCAGTTATAGTTACAAAACCAGAGATCGGATACCCAGAACCTATGGAATGTTTGAAACCAGATTTTGTGGCTTGAGGCCTTGATTGATGTGATCTTCCTCGTATTTTGTAAGTATTAAAAGCTTTAAAAGATCCTTATACTGAACGGATTGTATAAGAACAGTCTTAAACATCCAAGGGTCGGTCCTGGGGCCGGTTTTGTTCAATATCTTCATAAATGATCTGGAGGATGGTGTGGATTGCACTCTCAGCAGATTTGCGGATGATACTAAACTGGGAGGAGTGGTAGATACTCTGGAGGGGAGGGATAGGATACAGAAGGACCTAGACAAATTGGAGGATTGGGCCAAAAGAAATCTGATGAGGTTCAATAAGGATAAGTGCAGGGTCCTGCACTTAGGACGGAAGAACCCAATGCACAGCTACAGACTAGGGACCAAATGGCTAGGCAGCAGTTCTGCAGAAAAGGACCTAGGGGTGACAGTGGACGAGAAGCTGGATATGAGTCAGCAGTGTGCCCTTGTTGCCAAGAAGGCCAATGGCATTTTGGGATGTATAAGTAGGGGCATAGCGAGCAGATCGAGGGACGTGATCGTTCCCCTCTATTTGACATTGGTGAGGCCTCATCTGGAGTACTGTGTCCAGTTTTGGGCCCCACACTTCAAGAAGGATGTGGATAAATTGGAGAGAGTCCAGCGAAGGGCAACGAAAATGATTAGGGGTCTGGAACACATGAGTTATGAGGAGAGGCTGAGGGAGCTGGGATTGTTTAGCCTGCAGAAGAGAAGAATGAGGGGGGATTTGATCGCTGCTTTCAACTACCTGAAAGGGGGTTCCAAAGAGGATGGCTCTAGACTGTTCTCAATGGTAGCAGATGACAGAACGAGGAGTAATGGTCTCAAGCTGCAGTGGGGGAGGTTTAGATTGGATATTAGGAAAAACTTTTTCACTAAGAGGGTGGTGAAACACTGGAATGCGTTACCTAGGGAGGTGGTAGAATCTCCTTCCTTAGAGGTTTTTAAGGTCAGGCTTGACAAAGCCCTGGCTGGGATGATTTAACTGGGAATTGGTCCTGCTTCGAGCAGGGGGTTGGACTAGATGACCTTCTGGGGTCCCTTCCAACCCTTATATTCTATGATTCTATGATTCTATGATTCGCCATAGTGATCCTTCCATTAGGCCAGTGGAGCTATGCCAGGGATGAAACCAGCCCCACACGTGTATGCTGTGATTTTTAGGGTCCATATTTGGTGGCACGTGCCCAGTTGAAAATGGGTGGCAGTACTGGCAAGGCAGCTGTTACTATATCCACACAGCAAAGAGACAAACCTGGCTACGTGCAAGAGACCTGTGCAGGCGTTACAGGGACACAGATCTTCTGTGGCTGACAAGTCCTGGGGAAAAGGTATACTAGAATGTCAGTGAAGGGTATGTGTACGATGTATGTACTTATCTTTGCAAATCTCAGTTCCCCAGAGGCTTTGGGACTATATCTAGAGTGTGAGGAAGGGAAGTGTGTGCCTACAGCTGTAGATTTGGAGAGGTTTTGCATTTTCTTGTGTGATTCTATGCCTGAATCTTTTATAATTCTAGGTTGATATTCTGCAGAATCTCTGGTTTCAGAGTCTGGGATACTTTTTTAAAAGCAAGTATAACTTAAAATTCAGGGAGAGTGGAGGTTAAATGTAATTAAATCTTACTATATGTTAGCTAACCTAGTTACTTATATGGCCCCCATTATCATTGTATCTGAGCACCTTACAGTCTGTAATGTATTTATCCACACAACACTGCTGTGTGACAGGGCAGTTCTGTTTATCCCCATTTTACAGATGGGGAACTGAGGCAGAGTTGCTAAGTAACTTGCCCAAGGTCACACAGGAAGTCTCTGGAGGAGCAAGGACTTGAACCAAGTTCTCTAAGTCACATGCATGTCCCCTAACCAGCAGACTGTCCTTCCTCTCAGTCATTACAGCAACACTCTGGGTTAAATAAAAGCCACCTAAAAGCACCATGAGCTCTACTCACTCCTAGATTTTGTTGTTGGAACCTAGCCTACAGATCGCTGGCGGTGAAAAGTGCACCCACCAGAGATATACAGTGGTATAAACTGCCCACAACTCCTGCTTCACCATGGGGTCTATAACAGTCTAGAGAGTGAGTGAGGCTGGTTGGAGAGACCCAGCTCAGGGTACCCAACAGATGTAACCATTCTGCTCAGCTCCTGTGGAACCATGGTTGTAACTTAAAGCTTTTGTTGTTAGAAACCTTGCAGAAGGCAGTGGTGTATGGACTGCCTGGTCTTTCCTGAGGTAAATCTCACCCTCCAGGATTGGGGGCTGCCATCTGGGGTGAATCTGTCCTCTTCTCTTCAAATTCGGCTGTGTTCCAGAATAAATCCATTTAGAAAATAAATTCTTTCATGCCTTATCCTGCAAGATCACACAGTGACATTATGGCAGCACAGCTTAACAGCCACCGGGCTACAGATGGTACTGTGTTCAGAGTCTGAAAGCTGAAGACTAGGGAGTCTCTGAGTAGGGTCAGTGCTGAATCCTGGTATTAGGATCAGTTCATCTTTCCAATGAGGCAGAGCAGCCCTGGCCACTGTTAATATTGCAAATGTGAGAGAATTTTAAGCATCCAGTTTACTTTAAAAGTTTGCCTTTGCAGTTCTGTCAATGAAAATACGCTAGCCAGTTTCACCTTTATTCAAAGCAATTTTCTAATCAGTTGCACATTCTGGTTCTTGTACACTAGCACAGGGGTCGGCAGCCTTTCAGAAGTGGTGTGCCGAGTGTTCATTTATTCACTTTAATTTAAGGTTTTGTGTGCCAGTAATGCATTGTAACATTTTGAGAAGGTCTCTCTCTACAAGTCTATATATTATATAACTAAACTATTGTCGTATGTAAAGTAAACAAGATTTTCAGTATGTTTAAGAAGCTTCATTTAAAATTAAATTAAACTGCTGATCTTATGCCGCTGGCCCGCTCAGCCCACTGCCAGCCTGGGGTTCCATTCACCTAGGCCGGCAGCAGGCTGAGCGGGGCCTGCAGCTGGGACCTTGGCTGGCAAGGGGCCGACAGCCAGAACCCCAGATCAGCAGCGGGCTGAGCGGGGCCAGCAGCCAGTACCCCAGACCAGCAGTGGGCTGAGCGGCTCAGCCTGCTGCCACTCAGCCCACTGCCGGTTTGGGGTTCCGTCCACCGGCTCCTGCCAGCCAGGGTCCCAGCTGCCGGCCGAGCTCAGCCCACTGCTGGTCTGGGATCCTGGCCCTGCGCACATAGAGTGGGTACCTGCCTTCTCCCTGGTTCTAGCCCATTCTCTTCCTCTTTCTCTGCACTGAGCTAAGGGTGGGAGTGCACTGAGCACAGGGCTAGGGGTGAAGGATCAGGTTGGGGTGTAGGGTCTGGCCAGGAGCTAGAATGAGGGAGGGGGCTCAGGGTTGGGGCAGGAGGTTCGGGTGTGGAGTGCTTACCTGGGCAGCTCCCATTTGGTGCGAGGGGTGCAGGAGCTCCTGTTTGGTGCTCAGGGTGGGCGTGGGAATGTAGGGGGTGCAAGAGTCAGGCCATGGGGTGTGGGGGGTCTGGGGGTGTGTGAGGAGGATGCAGGAGTCAGGGCAGAGAGCTGGGGGCATGTGTGGGGGGTACTGGAGTCAGGATTGAGGTTGTAGGGGGGTGCAGGGGGCAGGAGGCTGGAATTGTGGGGGGTGCAGGGGTCAGGACACAGGGCTGGGTGTGTGTGAGGGGGTGCAGGGGTCAGGGCACAGGGCTGGGGTGTGTGTGGGGCGGTGTAGGGGTCAGGGAAGAGGGCTGAGGTGTGGGCTAGGGTCGTGGGGTTGCTCCCAGCCCTCTGCCCAGAGCAGCTCACGGCAGGGGGCTGGAGGGGATATGCCCTGATTCCACCCCCCTTCCCCAAGACCCCGTTCCCGCCTCTTCTCCGCCTCCTCCCCGGAGCAGCAAGTGAGCGCACTGCAGCTCAGCTTCTCTCCCTCCCCTGCAAGGGCCATCAGCTGATCGGTGGCAGGGAGGGAGAGGAGGAGGGGCAGGAACCCAGCATGGCCGGGGGAGGGGAGAGCTTGCTCACCCTGCAGCAGCAGCTGCCAGGACCAAGCTTCTTCACCCTGCCTCCGGGGGGTGGGGCGCGGAGAAGAGCAGGCCGGGGCGGGCAGGATTTTTAATGGCACACTGCTGCCTACTGGGGTCCTGCTGGCCTGGGTTCGGCAGTGGGCTGAGCGGGGCCAGAGGCTGGGACCCGGCAGGCAGCAGCGTGCCATTAAACATCGGCTCCCGTGCCGTGTTTGGCCCGCGTGCCGTAGGTTGCCGACCTCTGCACTAGCGCAATAGTGTACTATTTTCCATTGCAAGCCTTGCAGGAGAATGTTTTATTTTTCTTTCAAATTCTTTTCACAATTTTTAAGAACAATCTTAGATTTTGTAAAAAAAACAAAAACAAAACAGTTTGTTCCAGATCAATATTTTGGGCCAAATCCCATGGCATTTTACTAGAAAAGGGAAATTGGGTCCATTATCACCATTTTACCTACCTACCGAAATTCATCTGCCTTTTCAAATAGAGAAGATATTTTTCACTACCCTTTCTAAAATGCTGCTGTCGTTTTTGCTGATGCAGAATGAATACTGTAGTTCTGTCCTTAGAGGGGGCTGAATTAAAATTCGTACAGGTTGTAAAACACTTAGCACCTTTCATCCCAAAGGATTCCTGTTTAACTGTAAGGCTGTAACATCTCTGTTTTTACAACTTAAGTCAAACATAAAAAATCTCCATCTTCAAAATAAAATCATCAGGTGAAATGTTAATGTTATTGTCCATACCGTCTTGATATTAAACATGAACTAAACAGAGTAAAATTGTTGTGTATTAAGCGAGTCTTTGCTTCTCAGCTATCCAAAACAGTAAACTACTGTCTAAACTATATTGTTTTGAACATCAAAATGACTGTTGACGGGAGGAGGAGGGGGTGGGAGGGGGAGAACGTCATCTTGCAGCATCTTCACTGTTCAGGATTTTCTAAAAGAAAAGTTCCCTCTTTTACTGTATTGAATCACAGTTTGGTTATTTATAGGAATGGCTGGTATCTAAACTTCCCAAAGCATCATTCTGGACTGGCCTTTATGGGTTTAGATTCTGTACAGTTTTGCAGTGGTCGAACAGTCAATTCCCATTTGCAGCTTCAAGATGGTGAGTTGAGTAAGCAAGTGTGAACTAGAATTTGTGTGTTACACTGGCATCCGAAGTGCAATCATCAGGCCAGTCCCTCCTATTGCTCTCTTCAGTACAGCCATCCTCATCTTTTGACATAGAGTTGTGGTCCAAGGGGAGGCTACAGGAGCATGCAGTGCTTCATCATGGTCTGTTCAATCCAGCTGCAGTAGTTTCCTAATGAAATTAGTTTCCTAATGAAAATTCTAATTGAAAATGGCCAACTGGTTGTAGTTAGCCAACTAAGTTTGGGAACAGCACTACTGGTCATACTTCTCCTTCATTTAAAATAGAAACCAGCAGAGACCTGTAGAAAACAAGAGGGACCAGAATTAGAACACCAAAGTCTTAATAGAATTTCCACTAAGGACCTTTACTCTCAGCAAGTCACATCCTGTGTTGAATATGAGAGATCTGTGATCTGCTGTTTTAGACAAACTTCTGTAATTGTGGGTGATGGATGGTGGACTTCTGGCAAGTCAACAGGACAACCCTCAGTTGGGTAAAACTCAGATGCACATGATCTGTCAGGAAAGATATTCCTTGGGACACAGAAATGTTTCATATGTATTTCAGTCAAAGTTTGTGTATGTGCATGTTACATTTAATTATATTTCAAATGCAAAATGTACTTGGATAGACTTCCTGATAAGTGGTGGCTCTAGGAGTTCTGCTGTCTTAAGCAAACTGGCAAATGTCCATCTCCTACCAACTTGCAGCCTTGCAGACAAAGAGTTACTGAACTTATTCCTGCCCTGGTTTTTGGCATCCTAAAGTGATTCCAGTTGTATCTTTCTAGTATAGCCATTCCTGCTTTTGGCAACTCTGTGATTCATAGCGTTAATTTTGTAGAGTGCACTGCTTCTTTGCTGATACAATAAAAACGTATAGCAAAGGAGGAAACAAAAAATCAGCCTAGAAAAGCAGATTCGTATCTGGAAATGTTAAAATCTTTTGAGCCCAACTCTGCCCTCAGACATATGCACAGACCTGATAGTAGGATTGGGTTGTACATATATCATATAGAGAAATGTGTTAAACAACATTAGGGGCCAAAGTGTGACTCTCCCCTCCTTACTGACACTGATGAGGAGCTACTCACAGGAGTAGCCCATTTGAGTGGGTTTTTTAAAAGCATTGATGGGAGATAGGTGCTACCCTTAACATGGGAGTTTGGTGCCTAACTCCCATAGGAGTTTTTGAAAACCCAGCCAGCTGATTGACCTCATCTGGATTACTCATCTGAGTAACTACTCATCAGTGTGAGCAATATGGTTACAAACCAGCCCTTTGTGAAACAAATCAAAGGTGAATCAAGGTATCTAACACTGCAGGTTTCTTCTGACACTAGTGTTTCAGAGTGTTCATCTGAGAACTCTGCAATATGCTAGCATAATAGGGCAAGAGAAAAGATGGAGCATGGTAATGTTTTAAGGGCACATTTATTACTGAAAACACTTGGCTAAACTGAAGAGACTGCAATGTATTCTGTAGAAACAAACTCCCCATGTAACCGGGGTGGGAATGCAGTCATGACTTTAGCAATAGCAGCACGGAGGAAACGGTAAGACTAAACCTGGCTATAGTGCTTTTAAGGATAAAGTGTAGACTGGTGGGAAAACCTTGTAACCTTGTATACTTTTGTTTCCTTGAGGTTGTCTGTAAGCAAGTGGGCCATAGGTGCTAAGTGCTGTGTGCAGCTTAATGCTCCCAAAGGCTCTTTGACAGCTGTCAGCTGCTTTCGGAAAGCCCTGTGGATTTGCAAGAGAAAAGAAGAAGGTAGAGTGTGTGTGTGTGTGTGTGTGTGTATTGTCAGCTGGCTTACATTAGGAATGAACAAGGCTTCTCAGTACTTGTCTGCATTACAAGATTTAATCGTGTTTGAACATGATTGTGAGTTGTCGAATTACATGATGCTAGGATGGGACAGCCATTGCATGTTGAACACAGGGACTGCAGTTAATGCTGGCCCTTGCATTGGGCATGTAAGTGGGAAAGAAGGCATCTTCCTTCCGCTTGTGCATAAACATGGGGGCCAAGAGCAATCTGCCCTGAACTGTTGTCACTATCAAAGATCTCACTATTCCTGATAGCTACAGTTTCAAAGAAGATCATACAGAACACATGGGGGAATCCGTTCACTTACATTGTTTTAGGCTAGAGTCAAATTTTGTTCTCAGTTACACTGTTATAAATCAGCTGAAGTCAGTGGAGTTACTCTGGATTTATACCATTGTAACTAAGAGCAGAGATTGTGTTTAATGCCATTGAAGATAGGAGTCATTCCCTGGTTTAGAGTCAAAATGATCTTTGCTTCGAGTGGCATGTCAGCATATTAACCCTGTTGTGATTTCGTTTTTAGGCTTCCAGCTGACATATGTGGACTTTCTATCTTCTTTTAAAAAATTAAATAAGAAAGATGGTTTTAAAAAAAAAGTCCCTCTTCCAAACACACAATGTTTATCTTCTAGGAATTGTGGATTTCCGGGAGTTCCAAGGCTATTACCTGGCTGGCACGTACACGTCAGATTCCACACAGCAGTCATTATGGGAAGCCCTACAGCTCTGTAGATTTCAACGAAGCATTTGCAATGGAGTTGGGATGATCAAAGGAGAGTACAGAACTATATTTGCTACCCGAATTCTACTCATCATTGGAGCCCTTGGAGATGAAAGCACTGCATATTTGAAATCACGTATGCCAGAGTACTGAAGCATGTCCCTTGTGGGTGATGTACATTAACGGTGTGCTCCTTCTCGGATCTCAGGAGAGCTTCTTTTTGCAAGAGCCCTCTTGGGACCACAATATTGGAAGCGAATAATTTGGCTGCAAATGTTTAGCTTGCCCTGAGAAGAGTTACTCAGCCTGTGTCACTAGACCAGGGGTTCTCAAACTTCATTGCACTGTGACCCCCTTCTGACAACAAAAATTACTGCTTGACCCTGGGAGTGCTGGGGAGGAGGGACTGAAGCCTGAGCCTGCCTGAGCTCTGTTATCCTGGGTGTGTGTCAGGGGGGAAGCGAAGCCTGAGCCCTGCCATCCAGGACTGAAGCCCATGGGCTTCAGCTTCAGCCCTGGGTGGTGGGGCTCGGGCTTCAGCTTTGGCTCTGGGCGCTTGGGCTTGGGCTTTGGCCCCGGGCCCCAGCAAGTCTAATGCCAGCCTTTGTCACCCCATTAAAATGGGGTTGCAATCGACTTTGGGGTCCCGACCCACAGTTTGAGAACCGCTACACTAGACAATTACAGCAGCATTAATACATGTCACTGCTGAAAAATCAAACATAATTAAGAATGCCCTGGAATGTAAAGTTCTCATTACGCCTAAATAATTCTGTGGTACTTGGTGATCGTTTATAGCCATTTGGAAAGCCAAGTAAATGAAGTGAGTTTTGCAGTTCTTATGAGCACAGCAGCATTGCTTGTGCTGGCAGAGGGCAGGATTCCTGGACCTTTCTCTGCCCGCCAAAATGAAACAGGTGCATGGAGTGGAGAGGGCTCATTGGGGTGGCGTACACATGCATATACATGATCACATACATCTATAATAGCAAGATTTTCTAGCCTTGACAGTGTCCTTTAATCTACTGCTGTACCTATGTTTTACTAGCCAGAAATCGGGTTTAGTGTTACCTCATTAGATAGGGAATTGCATACCCTGAGATATGAAATAAATAGCCTGGAAAGAACTATTCTAGGTACATATTGAGTGAGGTACCCCTGGCCTCCGTATCCTGTCTCTTCTGCTTATTATTACAGTGAGCTGTAGGACTTTTACACTGGATTCCCTTGTGTACTATGCCATGGTTTCAATGATAATTTGTATCCTTTCCAAGTAAATAAAGTCTGTGCACATTTTCATGGTTGAGGCACTAATTGGTTTGATTTAGATTCTTGTCTCCATAGTAATATCTAAGTCTCTTTTCACTGTCTATTTTTGCAGCTTGTGCCCCAGGGCACTATGGTCCTGAATGCCTGGGCAGTTGCACTTGCAGTAGAATTGAAAACTGCAGCCCCTTCACTGGAGAATGTGCAGAGAATTTACAGTGTTCTCAGGAATATGTGGCACAGCAATGCCAAAAAGGTACGTGATACACAACCCATCACAGTGGAGAAAGGAAAGCAGCTGGCAAAGAGAGCAACAGAGCTTATTGATTTTACTCACACTCCCATCAGAAGACATAGCAGAAAATTCCTTGGCTTCACTGTTGTTTTGGTTATCAGCATGTTGGCCATGTATGCTATTAAATGTAGTCTGCTCAGCTATCCCCATAATATTTGTGATTCCCTAGGACTATTAATCATTGTGCCGGCCTTTGAGTAATTTTGCAGTTTCTGTTAGAGAAAGAAGCAGACAAACCCAGGAGAAAATGTGTCTAAAACCTTCTTTCATTCCTGGGTTTCATGCCTCACTGTGCACCAAGACTTGCTCTGACTGGCAGCTTCCAACCCATGTGAATGGTATATAAACAACACAGCAATTGAATGTCATGTGACATTTCAACTTGTGTCCTTGGCTTCAGTGTGTTCTGAATAGTAATCCTTTGTACTTCTGTGCAGCCTCTCATCAGAGGGTCTGAAAACACTTTGTTCATCAATTAACTCTAACCATGTCTATGAGATAAGTATTAATATCCTCGTGTTACACAACGGGAACAGAAGCATGCAGAGGTTAAGAGAGAGACAAGGTTGGTGTCTCAAAAGGAGCAGAGGTAAAGCCAGGAATAGCATCCAGACCATAGCTCTAACCACTAGATGGTACCAATTCCTTCTCTTTTCGTACTGTACTTTTGCAATACATAGCAATATACAGTAAAAGCTATGTTACTCGGCACTTTACCAACCGGAAAGCTCTAGAAATCGGCATTTCTGATATCTCCCAATACAAATCTTCAATCTAGTAACTGGGACCGATGCCAAAGCTACCTGGAATCGATGCTGAAGCTATTCGGAACCCAAGTATTTCCGAGAGTAGTCAGACTACGCTCAAGTTAGCCTAGAAGAGCCGAATGCTGTTCTTTCTGTTTGTATCCGCCACTGTGATCCATTGGTTTATTACTCAGTGTATTGTCCTGTGTTTATCGTAAAATATCAATGCCATCCTACCGTTATGGCATCCAAAATACGGTGAAAAGCAAAGGAGAGAAGCATAAGAGAGTTGTGTTGACATTAAAACAGAAAAGAGATATTTGTACATGTTTTGAAAAGGGCGAGAATAGGAATGTTTATTCATTTTATTGTATTCTAATTCTTTTGAAAATTGGTAATCCATTGGTAAGTATAACTCTTAGCTAACCAGAATTTTTGACTAACCAGCACCTCCCATTGTCCCAACAAAGCTTTTACTGTAATGTGAAAATATTGGTTCACTGAAAGCTGTACTGGTTTCAGTGTATTGATATTTGTCAAAGGGATAGTCACATTATAGGCAACTTCCAGTCTTGAGAGATCACCCCACAGCATTCCCAAATACACTGCCTAAACCAAAGTCCATTTGAAGCCAGTGGAAAGACTTGCATTAAACTTTGTGAGTTTGGGAATAGGCATGTAGTGAGAACATTTAAGCTTTTATACGAAGAAGCAGTTAATTTCATTGGATTCAGTAATGGTCACTAAAGCCAGGTTTCACTGTGTTGAATAATGGCACTTCTTTAACAAAGCTCTGGGCTACTGTTTCCAAAAGTGAGATTTTATGAGTGTTCCGGTTGTTTAAAATATCTCTGTTTGTTCCTCAGGAGTGATCAATATGAAATGCCCAGAGGATCCTGGATGGTGGTACTGGAATGGCAGCTGTTATTATATGGAAGAGACTAATAGTTTGACCTGGCTGGAAGCTAAGAATTACTGCACTGCCTATAATGGCACTGACCTACTATTGCTGGATAGCGCAGAAGAAAAGGTAAAGTGTTTCAGTTTATGCATTGTTGAAAAGGTGGTTATTGATGGACAAATGTCACCTTGCACCTTCAGAGAGCTGCTCCCTATCTGTCTTCAAAGTTATCGATGCCTGGTTTACAGGGATAGCCAGGCTTCCGTAGCTGTTAGCACAGCAGATGTAATTTACTCTAGCTCCATTAGAGCGAGAGCTGCCAACTGAGCTGTATTCTGCAAGTCGAGCTTCAGTGAATCAGTCTTTATTGATGATCGGGGTGTGTGAACTTGTGAAAATATTGTCACAGTTTCGTGTTGGGTTCTCTGCTGGAGCGAAATATTACTGTTTGTCAGAAAAGGGCTTTGTGCATTGAAACATAAGACAAATTCCAACTTCGCTAAGGGCGATCCAAACATTGATGTTCTTTTGAACATATCTGTGAAAAGTGAGGTTTCTCCGTTTTAACTCCAAAACAGTTCTACAAAACACAGCGACAACACTTAGCATGCCTGAAAGGATGATTCCTCCCTGTTACACCTTGTGTGCTGCCCGGTGCCTGGCTGGAATATAAGTAGTGACTGGGCTTTAGAGTTTGGCCTGACTGCACATACCAGTCTGTTATGGTGGGGCCATACAGCAGCAAATGGCTTTTTAACACTGCGACTACTGGTGAAAAGACACTGAGCCAGGTCTCACTTAAATAGTTTTACACCATGCACATCATTACAGTTACTCCTGACTTACAACAGTGTAACACACAGAAACCAGTCAATACACACACTCTGTTTGAGACCCAGTGCTACAAGTTCAAGCGTCGGGTCAGGTGTGTATATCCAGCCCAGTTACATAGCCTTATGGGGCAAGCTAATAAAAAATCTGACTCTTACCATCCCAGTGTCCTGCACTCCCCTGTCTCTGACCGTCACAGCATGAGCACATCAGCTAATCACTGTATAAAAGAGGGTGCTGGACTATGCTGACAGTGGCTCTTTTTATGGTGCTGCTGCAGCACAGTACTGGAATACACCTAGAAAACGTTTCTGTTGTATGTTGTAAGAGTAAAATCTCCTCACAAGTATCACTCACTCTCCCACCCTTGGACTCTCGTAACTCTTTTATCCAGGCTCTTTGTGTTTCAGACAGCAAACTCCTGAATCGTCCGTTCCCAACATTCTACATCCTTGGTCTAACTGCCAGGGTCATGCTTCTCAGCTATAAAACACATTATTGTGCAGCACATGCAAAAAGCACATCATAAACCAAGCGTGGTGTGAAACAGCTTCCGTACAAAAAGATTAGTGAATGACTTGTGTACACCCTTCTCAGTTTGCCTAAAAAAATCTTTTAACCAGCTGCTGTCGTAAATTGTACTAAAGTGGTGATGTCATTGCTGTCTTATCATCTCTTTGTGGTACCCACATCTTTTCTGCAAAGTCTTTTGCTACAGGAGTGTATTGCACAGATAAGAGCTGTTTGCCAAATTCAGATCTCGATTTGACTTTTGATTTTGAACCCCTCTCAAAAGTCAGAAGCTGTTCGGATGGTTTGCATAATTGGATACCAATACTAGTACCAGGACAAATGTTTACGACTGGAAATCCTGCCCTAGGATCCATCAAATAAACCTCTGCCATTTACCTGTTAATGGGCATTTCCTTCTTTATATACCTTAGTTCTCTAACATAAGTGTGCTTCTAACTTGCAGGCCTGGGTAACCTCTGTGTTACAGAAACCTGTTTGGATTTTCTCGTTGGGTGCCTCACAAAGCGATGCAGAGAAATCAAGCAGGAAGAATCAACATGTTATGTAAGGCGACCTTGCTGATTTCATAAAAATGGGTTTGAAACAAACTACGCCTCTAATGGGGTTTTTAAAACACTTTTCACCCCAAGGGTCAGATCCTCAGCTGATGTAAATTGTCGTAACTCCATTGACTTAAATGAAACTGTGCCAGTTTACACCAGCTGGGGATTGCAGGGAGGTTTGCAAAGACACACATGCCATTTAGGCTCCTGACCACCAATGACTTTCAGTGGGAGTTGGCTGCCTAAAAGCCATTTGTGCCTTTGGAAATCGGCCTCTGTCCAGAAATTTCTACTGGCTTCTTTGTGAAGTGGTTTTCTGCACATGTCCCTTATGAGCACAGTTCCTCCCTTCATCCACAGAATAGGCCCAGCAGCGGCAGCAGGAGGGACCATGGAGAGACCACCTTTAGATGTAAGAGATAATGTAGTTTCCATGATAATTCAGGGCCAGGAGCCTTCCTTCCACACGGGGGCCAATTACAATTGCCATCCCTGTGCTTAGGGACCATGGCTTCATTGGGGACCATATTCTTGCCCCCTTTCTCCTTCCTGCACCGCCTCCTGGAGCATGCTGCTCCATCTCTCCACCTGAAATATGGGGAGTTCCCTCTGGAGCAGGACAGCTCCAGACAACTTGGCCCACAGTGTCTCTTCTTTCTCTCCACTGAGGCTACCAGGAATGGCTGGTTGCAAGGATGTATTTTTGTGACATGGATCATTGTCTACCACTGATAGCCACCTCCACTGGAAATCAGCTTCACAACATGGGAACTGCCTCTAGCCTTGATCTTGGGTCTGCTTATTTGCCTTGATCTTGGGCCTGCTTATTTGTATGAGGAGTCCATAGCCATCACAGCTTTCATATTGGCTTTGTGTCTTGGTTAAGGCTCTGCTTTCTGGATCCCAAAATGTATATGGAGTTTGGTATCTAGAGAGTGGTTTGGAGGCTAAGGGCTAAGCTAGAGGGAGCTGCAAAAGTGGGTCTAGTATGACGGAGTGAAAAGAATAAGGGGTATAGGAACATCCTGGGGGAAATGTACTTGGAGTCATTGGGAAGTAAGTAAGATATCTTGGAAACTGAAATAATAAGAAAAAACATTGTGTGAGTATCACTCAGGAGAGAGAAATGGAAGGCTAAAAAGGCCTATAGAGGATACACATTGCTAAGGCGGGACCCTAAATCCTGTATGAGTGCCTAAAACGGACATTTGGGCCCTACTTGATGCTTTGAGCGCTCAAATGACAGACTGAAAATTTGTCTTGCATGGATTTGTTATGAGTCTTTTCATGAGGTTTAGTATAACTACAGTGTTTCTGAAATCATTTATTTTTCTTAGAGCCAAAACCCTGGCTCTCTTTCATCTGATGTGATGTTTAACATCCAGTACTGTGTGCTTTTGATTGTTCAGGCTAAGCCCCACCAAGAGTACTGCTCCAGACAGTTGTGATCAGCTGAATGCGAATGGGAGCTTGAACCAAATTAACTGTTCTTCTCTGGCTTTCTGGGTTTGTGAAAGAAGGGAAGGTAAGAGAGAATTCGGTGGGATAACCATTTGGGAGGTGTTCATCTTACTCTTCCAGGACAAAGCTCTGGCTGAACCGACTATACCATATATACTGTAGGTTCACATCTGTGTATGGCAAATATATAGGGCCTGATTCTGCCATTTACAAAGGTTGATCTGCTCACAGAGTGGGTACTTGGCACTGTCAGTAAGGGTGACAGAATTGGGTCAAAAGTGAAATTGATGAGTTTAGCTACCGTGTATAAAACGTGCCTGCGGCCATAGACAGCTAGTGCTGTGAACTGCACAGCCCTTAAAAGCTAAGCGGTGTCATCCTGCGTCAGTTCTGAAAATGGGAAATCTCTTTACAGCAACAAAACCAAAAGTCGAGGACATGGAGTTGGTGACTCAGTATGAACAGCCTTCTCGAGAAGGGCCAGATTGCACGTTTTATGCTCAGTACTGATGCATAGCTGCACTGCCACCAGAAGCTCCCTGGGAAGCAGCGTTCTGCAGAGAAGGAGTTCTTTCCAGGGCTCCCTGTCTGTGCCAGTGGAGGAGGAGAAATGTACTACAGTCCTTTTCAGGGTGCACCTAACTCCCTCCTCCCCCGTGCAATCAGACAGCTCCCCAGAGCACTGAAAGCTAAGACCTGGGTAGCCTTAACTCAAACCACTAAACAGTAGTGATGGATATCCTTACTCTTCCACGTGACTGTGTGGGTCTAGTCACAATTAGAGTTGAGAAAATAATTGATAACATTAGTTTGGTGGCTGAACTGAAATCAAATTCAGGTAATTTTGGACTGATACTAAGTGTGGTTTCTTCTTCGAGTAGTGTCCCTGTGAGTGCTCCATGTTAGGTGTCGGTGCGTCCCTGTGCCGGAGATCGGAGATTTTAGGTAGCAGTACTTGGTCGGGGTGTGCACAGCAGCTGTCTCGCGGTGTCGTTGGTGCCTCTTGTAGCGTGCGCGACCTGACCCCTCCATTCCATCTCTACATCCTCGGCTGCAGCCACAGCTCAGTGGCCGTGCTGCCTCTTCAAACAGCTCTCGAAAAGAAAATCGTTTACGTCGTAGTTTTAGCGGAGACAGTTTGATTAGACTCTACTTAGCCAGTTATTTTTTACAAAAAGTTTTTTTTTAATTTCCCTTCAGTTTTAGTTTCTTAGATTAGCAGTAGAAATAAAGTTTTCTTCTAACCAATTTCTGCATTTTTCTTCACATTTCCCATCCCAGTTGTGGGAAAAATCATTGGACACAATGCTGGGTTTAAGAGTTGTGACTTTTTTTTCTGCCATTTTTTTTCAGTCGAAACTATTCATAAAATTCAACTTAAATGTGCAACTTGTTTCAGGGTCTTGAAAAATGCATTTTCTTTGCTGAATTTCTGATTCACCAAAAAAATGTCAACAAGTTCTAGTCACAATCTAACACTAAGTTGGTACCAAAGCCTAGTACTAAGCCTAGTACTAAGTGACTATTCAGAATTGTCAAGCAGCGTCTGATTTGCAGCTCTTATTATCCGCACACAGAAAAGCAAAGATCATGCTCTGGTAATTATATTTTAGGGCCATTTCTTACAGAAAAGCTTCTGAACTCGAAGTGTTGAATTCAAGGAAATGTCAGACTTGTTTAAGTCAGTCCCCGACTGACTTTATTTTACAGATCTTGCCACATTTAAATGAGAATGCTGAGCCTGGAGCAAACGAGGCTAATAGTATCCGTTTGTATTAAATTTAATAGTCTCACATTTGATTTATTTACCAAAAGGAGAAACATGACAGCAGTCTAGGAGAATTTAATGCATCCAATCTTATGAACATGAACTAGACAGACAAGGTCACTTCAGTCTGGATTTTCGACTGTTAAAGGGAATGATGCCAAAGAACCTGTGGTTTTTTTTTTTTCCAAGGTAGAAGTGTAAAAAGTCAACAGGTGTGGCTGGCTTTGAAAAATGGTTTGCAGTGATTGCCTGTGATCCAGCAAACAAGCTGCATCTAATTATAAAACACATTTCAGAGTGTTGTGCTTTGCACTGCTCAGGAAGACCATTGTCAGCTGCTGTAGTTCAGCAGGTCTCTGCGCTGATGGAGGAGCATGTGACATTGATCATGTAATTTGAAATGTTCAAAATTTGTGCCCATTTTTGAGCAACATTGTTTCTATTTCAAAAACATGCAAACCAGTTTGGTTTTTGCAGCTAAATTTTTGGTTTTGTGAACACAAGAAATGTGAGGGTGGGAATGGGGGTATGGAAATGGCAAAATGAAATTGCAGAATAGCTTATTAAAAAAAATTGTTCAGGGGATTTTTGTATAGCCCTAGAAAATGAATTGCACTTATTTGAATTGTATTGTTACATGTGCCCCGTCTTCCTTTCTACGAGGTGCATATGTTAACACTGCTAGATAGAATGGCAGACCTGCTTGAGTTTGTGTTGATCACATTGTTAAACACTGTCACACAACCTACAGCACTGTGTGCATGTGAAATTGTGATGCCATCTTGGGGTAATCATTTATTTTATTGCAAGTGTGACTGTTTCTCAGGTTATTATTGGTGGAATATTATCCTGGTTCCTATGTGGACATAAGCTCTGAGGGGCTGAGATTTTTTATGAATTGACTGTTCATTGGTGTGAAAGCTGGATACATATATGGAAATAACACAGACCAGCAGTGTGTGTGTTCTTGGTTCCCGGATTTTCAGCTGACCCGTCAGGTCACCCAGTGTGTCACTCTCATTCTTTTCCATATATTTATATTGCCATTAAGATATTTGTTACAAAAGAACAGAGAAATGAGAGCAGGAATTGGTGTCAAATAGTACTCTAAGTCTCAGGTTTGAAACCCCTAGACTCCTAGGAACCACAAGTTTGAATCCCAGCAAGCTTGGCTCAGCCCTTCATCCTTCTCAGGTAGGTAAATGGAGATCCATGGGTTTACTGCAGGGGTAGTCAATTATTTCTTGTCAAGGTCCAAATTTCTTGGTCAAGGTATAGTCAAGGTCCAGACTCCAGAGAAAAAAAATAAACAATAATAATGAGAAGTAAATCAAAAGATTTTGGGGTCTGTTCAAAAGCGTATGGTAGTCCAGATTTGGCTCACTGTCCTGCTATTGACTACCCTTGGTTTACTGAGTGTCAGTTTTTTAGATGAAGTATTTAAAGCAAAGGTCCTGTCTGATGTGCATTGACATGAAGGGCTGCACTTTCCGTGTGCAGAAAATGTGAGAGCCATTGCTTGCTGTTCCTCAGCGCCCCCATCTTGCACAGTGAAGGAAAGTGTAGTACAGGGATTGGCTCTGTAAAATGCAAAGAGAAAGTTATGGATGCTTTTCTAAAAATCTTTCAGGTGACAGCATGTTTTGGAAATACTCCAGAAGGCTGCTCACTAAGCCTTCAGGGAGAGATACATATTCATCCTTGGAGTTTGCTCTGTCAGCCTGTATTTTAAAAGCAGATTGCACTGGAGTCACCTACTGGGGAAAGCGTTACATACCAGTCACTGGTAAAGAACTGATCTTCAGCAAAAACAGACAGGATGCTGTGTACCTGAGGAGTGGTAATTGTCGTCTTGTTTGTGCTATATATTAAGAAAAGGATAATGCTGTAGCTTTGTAAATTTGTGGATAGAAAAGGAAACGAAGGCATTGCTGATTGATTACTTTTTAGTTGTTTGTTTATTTTTCTGTGTTCCTTGGAAGTTTGAAACTGAAATGGAAAAAAATAAAATAATTCCTATAAAGCATGTTGACAGTATAAGTTTAAAGTTTAATATATCAAGCAAGTTTACTATATTATATTTCAAGGTAACCTGGCATTTTGTCTTTGTTTTTCTTTTTAAAAAAACAATTCAAATTTTCAAGAGATGCCAAAAATGGAAGCTAAATTTAGAGGTGTGTTGTTTTTTTTTTAAATTACTTTCAGCTTGCAGCAAAGGACATTATGGTGCCTATTGTCAAAAGAAATGCCCCACCTGTCTCAATCATACCGTGTGTAATAGACTCACAGGGCTGTGTGATGGTACAGTGACATGTCAAGAAAGGAAAAAATTAGAACTCTGTGAATACCGTAAGTACTGTAGCTGAGGAAAAATCAGCAATTGTTTTAAGTATTTTTAAAGAGTCAACTACTATCTAACAAGATACAAAAGGGCACCTTTTAGTGGCCTGCTAATAAAACACCAGAATGACTAAAGCAAACCACAACTAATGGGCTACTAAAATAGACTTTGCCCTGTATTATGGTATACTACATGCACATAACATACTACAGTTATATAGGAAATCATGTGCAATATGTCTTTAAGTTGCAAACAACTATATAATATCTTTGCCTGCCTAATAGGGCATAGTGTGTGTTGCACCTTTAATTTGTGTGTCTGTATGTTTCAAAAAGGCCTTACAAGCAAGTTCTGTTTTGCCTCTTGGAAGTACTGGAATGGAAATTGTTACTATGTTCCTCCCTATGGGGTGCTGAATAAGAGCGAAGCAGAGTTCATGTGTAGTCGGTTCCAAGGGGCACAACTGATCAAATTAAACAACACTGAAGAACAGGTCAGTCATATGAATGTCAGATTGTTAACAGGTTTCAGAGTCGCAGCCGTGTTCGCCTGTATTCGCAAAAAGAAAAGGAGGACTTGTGGCACCTTAGAGACTAACCAATTTATTTGAGCATGAGCTTTCGTGAGCTACAGCGCTGTTGAGGTTTTTGCTAGTCTTTAAATTTGTATTGTTTTGCATTCCATTGTGTCTGAAATGTTGAAATAATATTCTCAGTTTATTGGATCCCTTTTATCTTCTTAAAGGAAAAACTAATCAGTGTTTTTATGTATTTTATGGATCACATGCTGACATGATCCTCGTTCTTTCACTCATTTATTTGTGTGCCAACATCAGCTTCCATTTCTTTTTCACTTAAGGGAGCACCCCCATCCATAGTTCGGTGATGCCAGGATTTCTGGAGATGGGGTTTGTAGTTATCTTGTAATCCATCAGCCAACTGGCTGGATATGAAGTAACAGAACACAAACTGTACTTAAATTGTAAGCTTTCTGGGGCAGAGACCATCTTCTTGTTCTGTTTGGACAGTGCCTAAGCACAATGGAGTCCTACTTCATGACGGTCTCCTACATGCTAACATAATATAAATAATAATAATACTGAGCTAAAGCTAGAGGTCCTTATTCAGGTAAAGTCCCACTTGATGTCAGTGGGAGTTTTGCCTGAGTAGGGACTGAATAAAAACTAAACAAGGATCTCAAGATTTAGCTATGTAGGTCCTACATCAGAAGTGGTTATTTTTTAATTTGTCTTCAATTTCTCAACAATTGAATGGTGGATTTTTGCAAAAGTTCGTCCCTGGAGATAGAACCAAGTCAGGGAGAGCAGAAGACACCATGAAGTTCTCTAGAAACCTCACGAGTCATCTGGTAGTGGTTAGATGATACTATGGGGATGGGCAGTATAGACAGAGAAGTTAGATTGTGCTGGGATCTGGAGAACATTCATACCCAACTAGAGCCATTATAAAGTAAATCAAAATTGGCCCTCAACTGCTTGACAGCACCGTTTTAACAATAGATACCAGGTTTAATACTTCATTATGTACTTGTAACTAATGTTTGCTTTGGTCACTGGTGAACTGTTACACAAAGTTAAACCTACTCCCATTTAAAACCAATAGCAAAACTACCTGATTTCAATAGGAACAGAATTGGGCCCTTAATATGTTAAGCTAGTTCTCAATACCAGTTAAAAAGAGAATCCAAGAGTAATGGGCCAAATCCTCAGCTGGAAATACGTCCACATATATACCGATCATCCAAAGAAATGAGGCTGTGCTTGATGGTTACCGATTGCATTTATTAATGTATTTTAGCCACAGTGTATGTCCCAACACTGCTTCTGCTAATTCTTTGCAGAGATGGATAGCTAAAGTCATCGCTAGAAAAAGCTGGCTTGGCAGCCTGAGCTATAAACTCCAGTCAAACTCCTGGATCATGCCTGATGGAGATAGAGCAGCCCCTCGTTGGTAAAAATAAGCAGTTCCCCTTTCTCATTCTGTTCACCTTTCCTTTATTTAAGGGTGATAAGATCATGGGGGAGTTTGTCTTGGCCATATTTCAGTTATTTAAATATATTCACCCTATACAGAGAAATAGATGTCTGCTCTTTGAGGGCTCAGTCCTGCAGTCCTAATGCAGATTGTCCCAAAACTCAGGCTGTGTACTCTGCCCTTCAGTGCTGCTGGCATGAATAGATACCTCTCTAAATCAGTAATTTTGTGGTCCAGGGTATTAGTTTCGTGGCTGCTGGGTCTGCGAGATACTAAGCAATGTGTCAAACTGCAACTGCATTGTTTGGTTTTATTGCTGTGGGTTGAGCAAATACCTTAGAAAGGATCCCATCAGGAACACATGGCTGCAGAATGATCTCCCATGAGGAGGTGAGATTACGAATTGCCTTTTGACCTGACTAAGCGCACCTGGATTTATTGTGTCTTTTCCAAAAGGCATTGTCGAATATTTTGATCAGAGTGGACTGAAAGTTCTGTGGAAATCGCAGCTATGGTCTAAGGTGCCAGCTGCTTTTGGAAAAGGAAATCCTTCATATTGACACCACTCTGGATGCATTTGTCTTGAGATGGTGACAGTATTCGGCTGGGAAAGGACAGTATGGTAACAAATGAGTGAAACTGATCTTAGAGTCTCTGTTCAAGCATTTCAGACAGTTATAGGGCCATATGGAGCTATGTCAACTTATTCCAACTGAGGAGCTGACCTGTCTTTTTATATAAGGTGATGGTGGTAGCTATTCTAAGAGCAGTCAGTGGAGAATGATGGGGATTTAATACAGCTGTCTTGTTTTTCACACATGACCTTTGTACCCTGAAATCTTGGGGGACTCTGATTCTCAGAAGGATTTGGAAAAATCATTTTCTGCACCTTCCTGTGCAAGCACAGAAAGTAAAATTTTGAAAGATATATGAAGCTGATACAAGTGTGAACCTGCGGGCATGATCAAGGCCATGACAGCTAATGTATTTAATTAACTAACCAAGGGTGGTCATTGATTTAGATTTCTTTCTAATTGTGCCTATTAAAAGTGCTCTAGGCCTAGTCCATGAGTTAAAAAGTGACAGTGGAAACACACTCCACCCATTTTCCCCCCCGAACCTCTTCCCAACACCCAACCAACTCTACCTCCTTTATCTCTTACCCTTTTCCTCCACCCTCCCCGAGGAGCGCCATGGGGAATACAGATGAGATGCGTGTTTGCAGTGACTTTTGCTCATGAGTTGGAAATGCAGACTCATGTAAAAGTGAGTTCCATTGCTTTGTTTTGCTTTGCAGGGGTTTCAGAGCAGTTCAAGATTTGTGTGTGCAGATTGAACCTGTATCTGGAACCTTAATTTCCTTTGCCTGCTCTGAACGGGCTTCGTGGATCTGCAAGGGAGCCCCAGGTGAGAGTGCGCCCTGCATACGATTCACAGTGTTTTTAACAGCTCTCCCCGTGCAGTGACATGTCAGAGGGGTGCCTGAGGTGCAGCTTTCCAAAGCTCGTCTGCTGCTCCACGCCCTGAGCAGGATTCCTCTCCCTCTGCAGGAACTGCCTGCACCCAGCCAGAGTCTTGGGTTGGTATAGAGAGGAGTCCCAATGTGTTTTACAAAACACACCAGCCTCTACGCACCCTTGATCCTGGTCTGTGGGCATCTCTACAGTGCAGGTGGAGGTGGGATCACACTTGTTAGTGCTGGTACAGCTACACCTAGCTTGCGTGGCTGAAAAGAAGCAGTAGCACAGGCTAGACAAGCCCACTGAGAACTGTGGATATGTTCTAGTGTTGCTAGTCCGTGCTACCACACCTTCCCTGCTATTTTGAGCTTTGTTAGCTACCTTAATGCTAGTGAAGGTATAAGCCGCATTCACCCCTCTGAGAGCACTGTAGACGTACCTTTTGTGTGCTAGCTCAGCAGCCTAGCATAAATTACACGACTGCCAACATTCCCAAGAAGCTGGGATCGGTGAGGTGTAGGGAACCCTTGGCCGCACTTTGTACAATGGAGATGAGCTGTGTAGGACCAGCTGCGCTGCTCTTATGCCAAAAGCAGCCTCACATCATCCTACAGTCTGGGCCACTAATTTACAAATTCAGGCCCAATCAGTGGGGCTAAATTCTGTGCCGACTTAGATCCTGAGTAGTGCCATTATAGCCAGTGGGGCTGGAGGGGAGTAGGGGAAACCAGTGCAGAGTTGGTCCAGAACCACGTCCTAGGTTTAGCATCTTTGCTCTTTTTCCCTGTTTGTTTTGCCAGTTCCTGGAGCGCTGGATTCCACGTATAAGTGGTGGACAACGTTGACCTCGTCCCTTTTCGTTTCAGTTTTCGTAGTTGTTGTGAGTGCGTTTGTTACATTTAAAGCTGCCCAGTGGAGAAGACAAGTGCTGGTAGAAAAGACTGATGGGAAAGAGCAGAGAAGTAAAGTGGGGATGGAGATGACACAGCACCCCTTTCAGCAAAGCAGAACATCCCTAGAACATGACTAGTTAAACACATTTCCTTAAATCATCTTGCATTTCACTCAGAGACGTTTTCATCAGTGTTATTTCTTTTTTAAGCAGTTCAATAAACTCTCAAATAGAAAATATGGCTTTGCTTGCTAGCTGATTTTACAGCTGTTCAGAGGTTTTTTAAGCTGTAGGAAGGGGTTAATGGACTGTAATACATTCAGCCTTTTGCATCATTTTATCAAATACTATAAGGCCAGATTCAGAGCAGGTGATGTAGCTCCACTGAATTCTTCTCTGTCTGTCTTGGTGCTTCACTTCTCCAGTTTACACAGCTAAGGACTTGGTCCTCAGCATTAAACACACTTGGTCAATGGTACAATATTTGTGAACCAAATTCTGCTGTCAGTTACAGGCATTTAACTCAGTTATGAACACGGTTGTGAGCAGAATTTGAGCCCTTGTATTATTTATGCAGTATGGATTGAAAGCTGAAGTCCCTTAATCAGGAAGAGCTAATTTATACGAGCAGACGTTTTCCCTGACTAAGGGCTTCAAGACTGTTTTAAATACACTGGGGCCAGTTCCCCTCCCGCTCCAGGTTTATGCAGCTGTAACTCTGGTGCTGTTACTTCTGACTACCAGCAGCATGAGGGGAGAATCAGTCCCACTCTGCGTAAGTAACAGAAAGACTGACAAAATCATCAAGAGCCAAAGCAGCAGAGAGGCTGAAACTGGTTAATAGTAACAACAGTAAGAAAGTGAGCACAAACTGTCAGATTTAAGGATATGCTGACCATTATCATAGAAACGAGGTGATACCGAGGACAAAAGCTCATGCTTACGTAAGGATATTTACCTAAGGGATCTCTGTGTTCTGTTATATAATTACCTATTTAATATTTTGCTGATCTGAACCACAGAGCATGACCAAGTTAATATGAATGTGCATAGTGTAAAATAAAGCTACTGGACATCTGCAGTTTCCACTTCTCAAACATTAATTAACTGAAAAGTCCAAACAAGCCTAAATCCATATTATCAGCTCATTGGTATCCATAGCACTGACAAAATGTCACTCAGCCCATTAGTACGACTTTGATAGCATCTATAAATATACTTCTGAGAACACCTTGCACGTATAATGCATAAAGAGTCAAGTTTGGAAGAAGAAGAGTAGGGAAGCAACTACTGTTGCCTCTTTCTGCCATGGCTTCCAAAAACAAGTGAAGAGTTTTCTGGTAAAGTGCCTGGACAGTAGAGATGTTACATTTGCTTGCAATGAGGACACTGAACAATGGACTTTCCTAAGTGAAATCAAAAGGAAAATTCCTAAACTGTAAAGGAAGATGCATAAAACTTTATGGAAAATGGATCTTAAAAAAAACAACAAAAAACGTCCAATCAGAAATACGGGCCAGCATGGGAGTCTGCTCCATGCTGTTCCGAGGAAGAGCATTCGGATGATTATTCACTTTGAAAGTGCAGCTTTCTCATCTTAAAGGGGACATTTATGTGCAAATTTAGAATTGTGCGGAGTACTGTCTAACTAGAGGCCCTTGATCCATGCTACAATCAGCAGGAGATGGTTCAGCACTAAAGCATTGTCTTTTTCATGTCAGTGGGAATACTTAAGTGCCTCTTTTCTAGTCTTCCATTCTCTATTTAAAGACCCAGAAAAGAAATCTGCATAGTTTTTCAAAGAGTACAGATTGAGCTGTATAAATGGTGAAAGGAAAGTAGGAAAATGGTAGATTTCCTAGAGGCTAGAAATGTAAAAGTTACCTTGTCCCCTGAGCCTCTGGTTTCCTTGTAAATGTTAATACAGGATTTCATTTGTGCAGAGCTTTATTTTTGTGAGTTGGGTCTGCAAGACTGGGCCCTGGATCAAGTCTGTGAACACAGCAGACTGGCAACCTGGAAAATGAGACTTTTTGGTGAAATCTTTGCCCTTTTTTTTTTGTCAGAGGCAAGCAAAATTTGCGGTGAGTTCACTGGAGCCAGGATTTCAAAGCTCAATGTTTTTTTCCCTGAAATTAATAGACAGCAGGTTTAAAACAAACAAAAGGAAGTATTTTTTCACACAACGCACGTCAGTCTGTGGAACTCCTTGCTAGAGGATATTGTGAAGGCCAAGACTATAACAGGGTTCAAAAAAGAACTAGATAAGTTCATGGAGGATAGGTCCTTCAATGGCTATCAGTCAGGATGGGCAGGGATGGTGTCCCTTGCTTCTGTGTGCCAGAAACTGGGAATGGGTGACAGGGGATGGATCACTTTATGATTACCTGTTCTGTTCATTCCCTCTGGGGCAGCTGGCATAGGCCACTGTCAGAAGACAGGATAGCTGGCTAGCTGGGCCTTTGTCTGACCCAGTATGGTTGCTCCTATGTTTTTGTTATGTTTCTGACAAAGCTCAATCCCACAAGATGGCCTCAGCTCCCAAGCCCTATTGGCTTCAGTAGGAATCAGTCACAGAATTGGGTCCTTTTAACAATTTGGTATAAATGTATTGTAATAATTGCAGCAAAAAACCAACCAACCATAGTTTTAAATTGTTTATATTCAAAACAGCCATGTTCACTGAAACTCACTGCCAAAAGCTTTGAAAGGCCTTTATTCAGACCAAAGATTGGAGTGTTTGTTTTTGACATTGGCAGCATTTCACATGATCTGCTGAAGACAATGACTCCCTTATATCTTTTCAAACTCAGCCCTGTAGCCTCGGAGAAGGAAACTTCTTTCATGATTCAGGTTTTAAACAAATCTCATGTCTTGTGACTTTGAGGGCTCTTCAGAGAGAGAATAGATTATCCCTTTGTTTTTTCTGCATTGTTCAGTAACAGATGAGCATCTATAATGGCCCAGATCACTCAGCAGCGGATAAACATTTTTATTTTTATTTTTTTGAAATACTGGGCTGGAGTAAATGGACATATCTCCATTGGAGTCAGCAGAGTTACACCAGCTGAGGAGTTGGCCCACTGAGGGACCCCGGTCCCTGCTGTGGAATAACATACCCATGAGGATCAATCAGAGGCATTTGCAAGCAGATCTGCTGCTGTCTGAAGCTCACCAAAGTCGAGCTCTGTGGGACCAGCAAAGGGAAGAGATTTCAGAGGCTTAAACCACAAGGAGCAGACACTGGAGTGATCAGTCACCACATGAGGTGGCAATGCTACTACTTGATTGAGATACCAGGTGTGTGTCGAGGGAAGGGTGTGGCTGGGAGCCTGGGAGCACTGGAATCGACTCCTGGATCTTGTCTTGTTCTTCAGGCAGCACAGGGTGACAAGTATAGCTTTGGACAACATTGACCCCTTGTGGCCAGTGAGAGAGAATAGCATTGTCAGTTTCTGAAAGGAGGCTGGATGAGATCTCCAGGAGTGGAAGAATAACAAAAGCAACATAGGGTGGGACTTTTGTTCATAGGTACACCCGTGAGAAAAAAATGGGTGCACCCACTGGCAGCCCCAAGGATCAGCTCCTCCCCCTCCCCCACAGTCCTGCCCACCACAATCAGCTGTTCAGTGGTGTGCCAGAGGCGCTGGGGGGAAGGGAGAGGAGCAGGGGCAGGAAGGGAGGTGGAGATCAGGAAGGGGTAGAGGTGGGATCTTGGGGGAAGTGGTGAAGTGGGGGTGGGGCTTGGGGTGGAGTAGCGGGTGTTGAGCACCCCTCAGGAACTCAATAAGTTGGCACCTCTGCCTTTGTTACTCAGGGAGGAGCATTAAGAGGGGCTAAATGAAGGACTTATCTAGACACAGGTTAACATTCTTAAAATTGGTTAGGTAAATCTATCTCTATGCTCTTCATGTCAGAGATAGGGAGCATTCAAAAATCCAGCTTCATTGGAAGTTGAAAATGCTAAGCATGTCTGAAAAATCAGGCCTTTGGGGCAGTAGGAAGGGTTGGCAGGTTTTCAGCAATACATTTAACCCCCCCCCCCCCCCCCGATATTTGGAAGAAATATCACACTAAACATCCATGACCCAACAATTGTGCTAAATGGGTTCAGTCTTTCAGGACCTGGAATTCCAGGATTGTCTTGTTTTACAGCATCTGGAATTTTTTAAACATCAAGATTTTAATAGGACAGCAACTTAATTTTGGACCCAGTCCTGCAAATCTTTAGGGTCATGTCTACACTGCAGGCAGTATGACAGCACAGCTGCAGCTATGCCACTGTAGTTCCACAGCATAGATGTTTCCATGGCAACAGAAGGGGTTTTTCCATCGATGTAGGTAATCCACTGAAGGGTCAAAATCCATTGCTGCTTATGTAATAACCTGATATATGGATTGTGTCAGCTCTTTTTACAAGGCCCAAAGTCCAGAGTTTGGTCAAGAGGTCAGAGGTCTAGCAAATAGTGATCAGCTAAGAGAAGCAGAATAAACAAAAGATAACCTTGCTTTTGCGAAGATAAGCCTGGTCAGCAAAACGCCAGATGCTGAGAGCAATAATTGACTTATTTAAAGTTGCAAACAGAACAAAGAGGCCCTGTTTTTGTTGTGTTCGTTTCTTCTGTAGGGAGATATTCCTCTCACACACCAATCTTGCGTGTATGAAAGGGTTCAAGCAGGATATGGCCTTCTCCCTTTCCCAGAGACCAATGCCTGCCTTAAAAACACAAATAAGCAACTTGAAAGACAATCTTTATTGCCATATACTTTTCAATGTTTCTTTGCTTTTACCCCTAGATATGTACCTGTTGGACAAGCAGAGGAGTTGCTTCATTCCTATGGACCCCAAATTGAATTCAACATACATATATTTTATACTAATACATTTTATTGAAGTACTAATTAAATGTTACTTGTTAACCTGAAAACCATGGGCGGAGACATTATGTAACCTTTGACCATTGGCTACTGTGCTTATCTTGTCTTGCCGCTAGACCTATCCGGGGTTTGGGACTACTTACCCAGTCACTTTCCCCCACCCATGGAGAATCCATATAATCCATTGTAATGAATTCATTGACAGTGTCTCTGAGCCTGATAAGCAAGGTGACACTCTACCAGCGCGGTGCATAATAAACTCCTGTGCTTGACTTCTACACGGTGTGGATTTATGTTCCTTTTTCCACCTCCCTGAGAGGTGGTAGCTAGGTTGATGGAATATTTTTTCCATTGATCTAGCTGTGTCTATGCTGGGGGTTTTTCAGATTAATTATGGCGCTTCAGTGATTTAGCCAGGTTGATCTAAATTTTAAGGCTAGGCCAGGCCTTAAACTTTCCGATCATTTGAAACCCAAAATGTAGTTGCAGTTCTGTTAAAATCAAAGTACTAGCACGACATTACCAATAGTTTTAAAATAATCCTCTACAGCAGCAGCGTGATCCTGAATGTTCAGCCCCTACACAGGGCCTGCAGGATTCATTTCACTAATCATTCTAACAGCCACTTTTCAGATGAAATGTGCCACCGTTTAACAGCACGGAGCAACTGTTACGCAAGCAGTTAGGGCAGGAGTACTGTATCCCACTGAATCTGCACAGATGGTTTGACATGGGATAGTTGCCTGATTTGAGCAAGACACTGAAGTTGATACCCCTTCCCATTGCAAAAGAGTCATGGGATCTTTAATGACCACTGGGGTCAAGACCTTATTTTTGCTCTCTTTTCCCTCTGGACTCTATTCCTTGTGTCCAGCGTTTCCTCCGTGGAGAAGGAAAGAGATCATGTGGCATACAATGTTGATCTGTTTTTTAAATAACTGATCAAAATATAGGAGTAAGACAGAGACTATTTTAAAGACAGTTTTCTGAAATTTATTTCGTTTGCATCACTGCCTTGTCTCCACTAGGGGGCTCCAGAGATCTCCAGAATGGCTTCAACGTCGCTCCTTCTTCCTTTAAATTATTTGAAATAAGGTAAGAACTTAAAAGCAAATTTCTATTTTCTGTTTAGTGGTCGGTGCTCTCGTTAGTACTGTTCCCTTCCTTACAGTATTGCTTTCTCTTTTTAGGGAGTTTTAAATAGAGCCAATGTGGTCCAATGGCTATGGGGCATTGCTGCTCAGGGGACTTGGGTTCCATTCCCAGCTCTGCCACTGACCTGCTGTGGGGCCTTGAGCAAGTCACTTCACCTCTTGGTGTCTTTGCTTTTTCTATAGAGGCAGTAAGCTCTTTGAGGCAGGGACTATCATTGACACAGTGCCAAGCACGATGGGCCTGTAGGTGCTACTGTAGGTCAGATGTTACTGTTTCTGCCTGCATTTTCTTACCACTTTTGGGGCACGTTTTACAAGTACTGTTGGATTTGTATTTTGAGGTCAATGGGAGTTTGGGCAGGGCCCGGACTGCAGCTCAGGCACCATGGGTAGCAGTGCCATTATAAAACACCTACTGAGAGGCCTCTTCCATCAGCAGCTTATTTACCAGAGCCCAGGCTGTGACAGGATTAGGGGCCAGTTCTGAGTGTTATCCGCTACATGTGAAAGACCAGAGCCTGTCTCCACTGCCTGGCCAAATAGCCAAGTTGGGCAAATGTGTGGCAGGGGGAGTGGGGTAGGATAGGAGGATCACTGAGGATAATGGAGGATACAGATCATTACCCTGGCCTGTCCGTGCCCTAAACCCAACTCATCACACCCCTAACACACTGTCAGCAGAGGGTGCTTGATGGTAACAGTGAGTTAAGTAGCTGAGCTCTAGTGTTGGGGCTAGTCTTTTCGTGCAGAAAGTCCTGGGTTCTATTCCCACTGATGAGTTCCTCCAGATGGGATCTGTCTAGTACATCGAATTAACTACTTTGGTGTAGAACCAATCAAAGAAATTTGAATTTTGATTTTTTTCAATAAGCAATAAAAATACAGTATTCATGAATGTTTTTGTGCAATAGGAGACTCTATTTTCAGTCAAGGGGAAAGATTTCCAAAAGCACCTAATGACTCAGGTGCCTAAGTCCCTTACGGTATGTCTACACTGCAGCAGGAACACGCCTCCCAGCCCAGGTAGACAGATTTGGGCTGTCAGGGCTCATGCTAACATGCTGAAAATAGCGGTGGAGACATGGCCGCTCAGGCTGCCGCTCCAGCTCTCAAGCCCATCTGGCCTCCTAGAGAGCCTGGCCTGTAGCATCTACACAGGTACTTTTAGCATGCTAGCTCAAGCCCCGTTAGCATGTGTCTGTCTGGGCGGCTCATCCCAGCTGCAGTGTAGACAAACCCTTAGGCAGTTTTCAAAATGTCACTCTACCTCTACTTTGGAGCCTTTGAACACAGTGGGATGAGTCTGGTGTATCCCTGTAGACAGGCATCCTTGTCTCTGGGGTGCCCTGTGTGCCCAGACACAGCATTGCAGGGGACTTGGCCTCCAATATTCTCTCTGACAGCCATCTGCTCTGCCGGTCCCTTCTCTGGACTTCCTTCCCGTGCTGTGGCTTAGCCCTCTGACCAAGTCATGTACAGTTCAGTCCCCTTCCAGGGTTAATTAAAGGTCCAGCTCCAAGTCCAAAATCAAATACTCCAAACTAACAAACTAGTGGTTCTTCTGCCCCTCAGACTCCATCATATCTTCTGTTTCTTCTCCGGCTGGATTCCTCTGCAGCCTCCCTTCCCCAGGGATTCTGACAGCTGATGGATACCCTGCTGGAGTTCTTCTCGTAACTGCCAGTTCTTCTAGCCCATCTGGGCTTTTCTTCTCCTCATAGGTCCTGGTTACTCACACAGGAACCTACTCTGCTCCCTATGGGTCTCATAGGAGGGGCCCTCCCCTTTTTCCTCCCTGCAGGGGCTCCTCCTCTCTCCTTGCTTCTCAGCTCTATTTAAAGTCTAACTCCACCTCTTCTTGCCAGGAGGCAGTTAATCAATCACACTCGGGGTGGGGAGCATGACTGATTGGGGACAGTTTCTAATTAAGCCCCATTACATGCAGCTGGGGTCACTAATAAGCTCTTAGTTATCAGCTCATGAGAGAGGCTGAGGGTTAGTTGCTAGGTCATGGGCAAGGCCGAGCCCAGCTTGCCTCAAAGGGCCATGACAGTCCAGTCCATGACAGTCCCGTTCCCTAGTTGAACAGAGCTGTGTCTGGTAAATGTGCCCGCTGCCCACATAGGCTGGGCTGGGAGAAGTTGCATGGGGTTGCGGAAATATATCAGGAGAGCTGCCTTTTCTGGTGTCCTGACTTCTGGCTGCAGGCCTGGCCAGTGGCCTTGTTTTAATATAGTTGATTGATGTTGTTTTACTGAACCACGAGAGCTGCAGTGAACAAACCTGGATCAATATTTATTTATTTTTGATTTACGAGAACAAACAAAACTCCATCCTGGTGTGGCCTTACGCCCCATATTCTTCATAGTAATATTATTATGATATAATTATGGCAAAACGATGATGTATTTTATGTAAGATAGGCCATGTGAGATATCATTGAATAGGTTATGATTCACTGAATATAATTATCCTATTTGTATGCATGTATCGTTTTGATATCTGAAGTTAGGAATGTTGTCTATGCATCTATTACAAATACCTGGGGAACTCCCACGAGGCAGAATGCGATCAGTCTAGATGGCTGGCTGGGAAGGGCTGTTAGGGAAAACAATAGGTCTTAGAAGATGCTAATATCCAACCAGGGAGCCTTCCTGAGGACATTACAAACAGCCTCTGACTCATGGTTGCAATGGCCCTACAGAGACATGTGACCCAGTCACATGGTACTAGACTCCCTCATAGAATATCAGTGTTTTTCCACTGAAAGGTGTGGGAACTAAAAAGCTGGAGACAAAAGGTTCCTGCCATATGCAAAAGCTATTTAAGGCGGGAGTGACATCATTGAGGTTCTTCACTGACTCCCCGGCCAAAGGAGACGCTTGGAAACACCTGAGAAACAAAAAGAAAAGGAGTACTTGTGGCATCTTAGAGACTAACCAATTTATTTGAGCATGAGCTCACTTCATCGGAGCTGTAGCTCACGAAAGCTCATGCTCAAATAAATTGGTTAGTCTCTAAGGTGCCACAAGTACTCCTTTTCTTTTTGCGAATACAGACTAACACGGCTGTTACTCTGAAACCTGAGAAACAAGGACTGAACTGGGGGGAGAAGGGTTGAACCCCAGCTAGAGGAATTTCTAGCCTGGGAAAGGTTTAGCTGGGCTTTTTGCAGCTTGGCCTCAAGAATCTCTGCAAACTGTCTAAACCAACAATTAGGGTGAGAATTTGCGGGGGAGCAGAACCACAGTTCCACCTTCTGTTCCTTTCTCCCTGCCCTGTTGGTGGTGAGCTGCCCCGGTGGGTGGAGGAGGGACAAAGTGGTAGCAGGAGTGCAGGGGGCTGCAGTTTTGGCTTGCCCATGTGCAGTCTCTTACTCCCTTTCCCCCCATTGCACAGTTGTGTAAAGTGTGTGTGTGGGGGGCATGATGATTCCTGTTGTGAAAAAATCTGCACCATATGCTGTCAGTGGGATCTCATTTTGGCTTCAGTAGTGGGCGGAGCTTGCTTGGATTGGGTTGGATTTGAGACTGTACCAGCACATGCCGTCTGACCCCTGAGAGGAAGGATAAGCCACTGGCTAGGGCATTAGCCAGAAACCTGGGTTCAATTCTCTGCTCTGCCAGAGACGTCTGTGTGACCTTGGGCAAGCCACTTTGCCTTTCTGTGCCTCTGTTTCCATCTGTAAGATGGGGATAATAGCACTGCCCTACCTCATGGGGGTTTTGTGGGGAAAGTATGTTAAAGGTTGTGAGGTGCTCAGAGACTAGGATGATGGGGGCCATATAAGTACCTAGGAGAGATTACAACAGCCATAGTGGAGACAGGCATTCTCATTTCGCTTCAAAGATAGGAGGGCAACCTAGCCCTTCTTCTGCAAGGCGAAAGGCACTATATTATTAGTGGAACAATTTATTATTTATTATTTGTATTCATGAGTGTTGGAAGCCCCATGGTGTGTCTGCTTCTTGACAGGAGTCTTGAACACAGGGATTTAGCTGGATAGTTAGGAAGAAGATGAGTATACTGGGCTTGATCCTGCAAGGTGCTGAACACTTTGGCCCTGATCCAGCAAAGCACTTAAGCATCTGCTTAACTCTAAATTTATAAATCATCCCTTTGACGGCAATGGGGATTACCCACATCCTTGAAGTTAAGCATGTATTTAAGAGCTTTGCTGGGTTGAAGCCATGGTGCTCAGCATCTTGCAGGATCAAGCCCTTTCTGCAGAGAGGAAGGCAGGGGGCAATTACCTGTTTTGCAAAGAGAAAGAGTGCATGGGTCAGGAAAATTCAGCCTAAGTCAGTGATCCTGACCACCCCTCCCTCCATGTGATTTTAAATCAGTAGCAGAATGTATAACCTCACATCTCTTAAATAATAATTTTCTAAAGCACTGTTCCAAACAAAGACAGTCCTGTTTCCATTACAAGTTGGGGGTGGGGGAATCCTGCCTAGAAGTAGCAGAGTGATCAGAAAAGATTGTCTTTGGCCTTGACCTGTGAAATGTCTCATTATGGGATCTCTGAAAAGTGCTGATCTGTTAAGTGTTTAAGCGACACAATGTGCCTTCGATGCTTCTGCAGTTGGAGAACCGGTGCCAATCTGATCAGCATTAACTACAGTTGCAGAGGTTTGCCACATCCTAGAGCTATCACTTTGCCTTACCTCACTAATAACACTCCCCATTTATTCCACTCTCCCCCCTCCCACCTTACTTCCTCCCTTGTGTCAGTGTGTGCATGCATTTGCATGTCTTTCTATCCGCTCTCTGGTGTATTTTACCTCTTGTGACAGCTGCAGGCTCCTCCTGCAGTCTGCAAAGGGAAACTTCCCTGCAATAGGCTTGGCTCTTCCGCTCTGATCCCAAGTCCACTTGCCTCAAACTAAGACTCCCCAGAAAGGAAACTTGTCTCCCTCCCTTCCCCCCGTCTGTCCAAAC